GATATGTAGTTAAATGATGAATGAGAACAAATATGTTAAAATTTCATGTAAATTTCGACATCCACTACTCGAAACCTATACTTATACTCGTAATGACAAATGTCTATCAGACTAATAATGCGTTGTTGTATCTTCATAATAGTGTTAATGATATGTTAGCCGTGTTATCGAAATCTATGATTTTAATTCACGATCTATATCAACTTGGATGAGAAATAATTCTACAAATTTATTTTCTCATCAAAAAGTTGATTTTCGAAAAACCTCAGAACAGTATAGATTTGTTGCCAATTTGTTTTTTTTTTCAAATTTTTTAACGTTTAAAGACAATTTTGAGATTCTAAAATATACTCACTAGATAGATATTACTTCAAATTATACGATGATCATAAAAAGCTAAACATGAAAAACAAAAACAAAAATTTTAGACCACGAAAGACGAAATGTACTCTTGATGAACAATATTTTACATTACAATTGAAGTTTCAAAAGTCTTAGTGATTAAGTATAATTCAATAATATTTCACTTATTATTTTTATATTTGTAAGAAGTCATTTATATTTTTTTTACCTTAATCATACATCGATTTATTTGTCCTTAAAATGGGTAGCATACATCGATTGAAGAAAATGACTCATCGAAGTCATATATTAATATTTTTCATCCTTCATAAAATGCTAATGTAGCTATAGAAAGGAAAATCTTAATGTATGATGGTAACAATATCAAGTGATAAATGATGTATAGCTTATCTAGTACTTTCATTAATGTTTTGTTTTAACGTCAAAATCATGATTAGGTATTTGATAAGAGATACATCATAAGGTAAACAAGATATTTTTGCCGTACTCATTTTGATTTAACATAAATTCATATTGAGTTTTACGTAGTGTGGAAATGGACAACTTGCATTGCCAGGTTATTTTTGTGGTCGTGATTCTAATCATCTAGATTACCTATCGAATTCAACATGTGTTATTGCACCCAATGATGCTCATGCTGTTTATTATCCTTCTAATGATCAATCTGTAACAGAATCCATGACAAAACCTCCAACACCAGATTCATTCCTACCATAATCTGATGTGCCAGACATTGTTATTTTTAGATGCAGAGCTGATATTGATTGTGAAGGAAATCTTCAATATTGTGGTAATTGTACTCGTTAATATGTTTGTTGTATCATCCATTTGAAAAGTGTTATACATTGTTTGAATAGAAAAACAAAAGAACTTCAGGTAATTTGCATATCTATTTTCTCATATCTATTAATTAAATAAAATAACGACCAATATATATAATAAGGTGATAAGTAAACATTAAAAAAAACTCGTTCTTTTTTTTGTAAATGGATTTTATTAGATAGAAATATGGATTTATATGAATATTATTTTTATACCATCTACCTATATCGATTTTATGATTGATAGATTTATAATTGTTGGAATTTATCATCATTCGCTTCCATACATAGTAAAAATCCTTCTAGTTGTTCTTTTTCTTCAAGTAGTATTATAAAACCTGGAAAGATTGCATCTCATAATAGGAATAAAAATGTGTCAATTTGCAAGATTAATCTCTGAATAGGTTTTCATTGTCAATAAGTATTGACTTACTACTTCTGAAAATTAACATTACAAAGAATAGTATGTCATTGGCAACATTCAATATTAATTTTCATACCTTACAATAAACCTTAAGTGAGAAGCAAAGTTCGTTGGACAAGAATAAAAGCAATAGAAAAATATGTTTTTATTAAATGCAATAATGTGAAATTATCTAGGTGTCATGATTTATTGTATCTTTTGATGATAAATTATTGTAAAAAGGCGAAAAAAACTATGTTTATATCTTCATTATGATAAAGTATGATGAATACTTGTTTACAAGAATTTCTATCAGGAAATGATTGTATTCAGATTTATTTTCATCTTTCATGCTATCATAGTAATGTCTATACTAATGGTTAATGATTTATGCATGCACAATGATAAATGTGATATTTAAGCTCTGTTGACCAGTTATATTTGTGGCCTTGGTGTTAAGCACTGCTATTATCTATCAACACATCAATATATCATTGTATCTAATAATACATATGTTATATGTTGTTCTCGTCGTCAACAAAGAAATATAGAAATGATGGCATATTCGATTGAAAAAACCAGACTCATGTCCATCATTATTATCATCATCAGGTATGGTTGGCAGATGTGTTAATCGATGTTCTTCGACCATCTATTGTCCTCAGTATCTTAAATGTTACGATGACTGTTTTTGTCAATATTCGAAGAATATTATTCTTTTAAGTAGAAAAAATAAAGAAATTGTTTCGGTTTCTGTTTGTGACGACATAGAATATATATTTATAAGTTAATACAGAAACATCTAAAACGTTAAATGATAAACAGTAAGCTTCTTATATTACAAATCCATAGAGAGTATTAATCTCTGAACTAGTTTTGCTTTTATTTCGCTTTCGACTATTATTTATTGAATGAGATTCATTTCGCAAAAGCCAAGTTCGACAAATATATTTGATTGTAAAATCTGCTTTGCTTCATTAAATATACTTGATTCAGTTTTCAACAACAAACGGTTTGATTCCTAATCATCCAAAATTTCATCATTTATTATTCAACACATAACATCACATCCTACTATATTGAATAAAACTGAAAAGTTCATATCCTTCCTTTCAGACTCGATCCATGTTATGAACACATCAACAAATCTCATTATAATATAAGTTCTTCTTCTGCTCAAAATGTCACGAATTTAATGTAATAATAAGATTCACATAATAATCAAATCATTCAACACTTTCACTTATTATTTTAATTCGTATTCAATATATAAGGTCTTAACTTAGCAAATCAAATAAATCCTCTTAGAAAACATTCTAACCATCTATTGATACTATCATATAACAACTATCCATAATGTATTTATCTAAAGAAGAATATTTTTTTTTAATGATTAATTTTTCAAAAAACTAGATTTTCAAGAAAATAAATGCATCATAGGATGATTATTGCATAACTTGATTCATTAATTATTGGTTTACAATATATTACAACAATTTTTTATCGCTTCCGAAATTCATTTCTCCTTTGTTCTGAGATAAATGTATATTCTAATTTTATCTTCACATATATGAACAATATTATTGTAGTAGAAATTTTTCAACGCAAAGACAAAATGAAATACACTTCAGCTGGATGTATATAGATATATCTTTTTTTTTGTGTATTGAACCAACTTGTTTTTTTCTTTTCTAGCTTGTTTAACTTATCGGTCATTTTACAGTAGACTAATGCTGTTCTTTCAATGTCTTTTTTCATTTTATTCGATAAGTCTATTTCAAGATTCGATAAGATAAGATTGAAAACGATGAGAAATATAAAATGCGAACAACAGTCTCGAAAAAAAAATCGAAGATTAACTAGCTGAAAAATGACAAGAATAAAAATAAACAACACAAAAAAAGAAGAAATTGAAAACAACATTTCATTAAATTTATACAGATCACTGCTTTTACTTCCTTTTTCTTTTCTTTCCTGTCTTCTATCTTAAGTTATCAACAATATAGTCATTTAATCAAAAATTTATATTTACAAAATAAAATAGTATAAACAAAGTAAACTAAGCAAAAAAAGAAAATTCTGTATATGATCATTTTTGTATAATTGTTTTTTATTCAAAGAAATAATCTATTTATGAAAAGTATGAAGTCCATAACATAATTGTTCTTAAAGACTTTCTTTTCATTCACGTAAGGATTTATGTCACTTATATAGATTTACACATTTTATTTTATATTGACAGTTTCTAATTAAAATTTTCGGTGCTTATTTTTAGCTAAATTAATTAGTGTAAAGATAGAAAAAGAGTTTTCTATTGCTTTTTCTTGTTCTATCTAAATAAATGATTTTGTTCTTAACATGATGATGGCCGGCACTCATTGTCTCTTTGTATTAATTTGAATGATCTTGGTCGTTTTTGTCGTCATTCTGTTATAAGCTTGTTGTTAATGGGACGCGCATTATCTATAGAAAGCATCATAGCGAAACATTTTTTTTTCTTTCTCTCCCAACTTTTTCTTCTCTTTTCGAGCTCGTCTTTTTATCTTTTTTCGAAGTAAGACACATCACATATATCTCAGTTGTTGAGTAGATTTTATAGTTGTTCTCTCACGCTCACATACACACAATATATATGTAGTGATGAGTGATCTTTTTTTTTTCTCTACGGTGTATGTATATATCTATAGACGATAGAGAATAATGGTGCAAAGCCTTTGAGACAAATAGTCTTGACATAATTCAATGCATACATGTTACTATTTTATTCCTATTGTTATAGTAGTAATAATAGTATAAGAAAAGCAAAAAACGAAGACTTCAAGCATACACATAGATGCATGTGCTCAGTTTTGTTACAAGTATAGCAATATAACGGAAATCTATAATTGCCAGGAGCCTAAAAGAACAACAACAAGAACAGTGAAGAAAAACACAACTTACAATTTAGTTTCTCTCTTTTTTTTATCATTAGTAGTAGCAATATCTCTTTCTCCTACTCTTTTTCTTCATGAACGGAAACCGAGCGAAAGAGTGAGTGTCAGCAAGCAAGAGGCAACTAAACTGAATCATCATCATCATCATCATCATCATCATTATTGTAAAATCAAGATAGAGAGAAAAGAAGAAAAAAAATATTAAAAAGAAAGGTAAGTCTTCGCTAATTCAGTTGCTATTTGATTCATAAACACGCACATTCATATGTATTTTTCATTAGATTGACAATGACACGACAACGTCAGTTGGGTCACAAAACTATTTTCTTATCACCTTGAAACATATTTTTTGTTACAATAAAAAACAACTAAAATAATGTGATATTGTCCAATCCGATGATTTTCTTCAGATATAAGCCTTATATTACTGTAAAACATCATTTTTAAATTGAAACTAGTATTATTATCATTATTATTATTATGATTCGTGCTCGTGCTCGTCCTCGACAAGATCCAAAAAGTTCAAGTTTTTCTTCAACATGTACATCAGCAAGCAGTAATCCTCAATGGAGTGATGCATCATCTTCGTCACCTATTAATCATAATTTATTATCTCCACAACGACCAACATTAAGATTTACTCGACGTTTTATACTTCCTATAGTTCCGGCAGCCCGTCTACCTATATCTCCAACATCACCTCGAGCTGCACTTCGAGATCTTTGTTCACCTCGACAGGAACCACGTCCACCTGCTGATGTCCTAAATCGATCATATCTTGATTCATGTTCACCATCTTTAGCTAAGTTTAGTCGTACGATGATTAGTCAACATGCATCAGCATCATCAAACACAACAGTATTACCACCATCAACAATTTGTGCAAGGAATTTTCTTCATCCAACAATACCTTATCTTACCGTTAATGCTCGTGGACTAAATCCTCATCACCATCATTATCGACATACACGGTAAAATGATTTTAAATTATATTTTAAAAAAGTTTAGAAAAAGTTAAAGCATTTTTTTAAATGTTTTAAATCGAAATATTGCAATTGAGTAGGTCTCATTTATCAATATAATTATTAGCTTCATTAATGTATAAAGATTTCGAAGGAAGCCGTTTTTGAACTGTAGCCTTTGAGTAACTATACATTAAAAAGAAATATTTAAGTTTTCTTGATTCCGTAAAAATCTACGTTACTAATCTTCAATTTGCACTTAAGAAAATACTTAACATTGTATTAGAATTCTATAAGAAAAGGAAAGATTAGAAGAAAACAAACAAATATTCTATTTAACTACATAGAATAGTTTTCAAACTTTTTCTATATGTTTGAAATCAACGTTTGTATCCATAGAAATAAATTGTTTTATTTCTTATTTTGAATATATCTATGTTATAGAATGACAGTTTTATGCTGTGTAAAGATTCATTTAAATAAATTCGTTCTAGAATTGAATCTATTTGCACTCAGTAACTAATATAATAAAATGAACGAAGAAATTAAAAAGTTGATTAATGAAAAGAAAGGAAAATCAATAGTTGATTATTTTTTAAATAATTTACAATGTAATATTAAGAAAAGTTTCATATAATTTTATTTTTTTATTCAAGATTGTAAAGTAAGAATAGAAAAAAATGTATTCAAGAAAACTTGATAATGTCAGAAATTTTTACGAAAGGATGTAAAACAAGAAAACAGTAAAATAAAAATATGCTAACCTTGTCTTTCTTTGTTCTAAATAATAAAAAGAATCGTTTTCTATTAATATACTAATAAAATATATAGGAAAATATTACGAAAAATTTTATATTCTTTTTCTTTCAATTAAAATAGTATCATTATTATTCTATGTTTGAAATATTATCTTGTTAATAACAACTTATGTCGATATATGTTATTACATTGAATACTTCAATGAAACCATAAAACATTTAGAGATATACTCGGCAAATTTGATATGATGTTTTTGCATCCTCACATAGTATTGTTTTATTTTCTTTTTAGTTTGATATTTCTATCAATTATTAATACGTATATGATGTATCTAACTTTCATAAAAAATAGTTTAAGCTATCGGAAATTTTTCTTTTTCTCTTTGTACTCAGAATTCTAATATAGTTACATTCATTGAATAAGGAAATTATTTAAATTAATAATGAAATATTATTTAGCTTGAATAGAATAAATTCTTGTTAGTTGTTATTTTATCCAATTATATTAAAAATAAATTTTTGTGTAAATCAAAAGGAAGTATAGTATAGCTTAAACTTATATAAACTGTAATTTGAAGCTTTATTACAAACCGAAATATGGAATGTTTTGTGTAAAATTGTTAATATTTATTATTTTTCTGTTGACACTTCATGTCTTTATATTGTATAGAAAGAACAGAGAAAACATGTTTTGGCATGAAGATGTCTATGTCTTTAATATAAAGCATTTAAAACATTGATTAGTTTCATTATAAATTATTCTAATTGGTAAAAAAAACATTGCAATAATAGATGACAAACTCCGAATAGTTTTATTATAAGTCGACATAATAGCATCCTTAAAAATTTAATTTGTTTCTTTTTTTCTGTTTTGTTTTTAAGTTTCTTGATGAACTTCCACTTGTAGAAGAAAAACAGAAATCAGAAGTTCTTTTTTTCTTTTAGTTTTACATGTCAATCTTGTCTAAGACGAATGATATATCATAAGTAAATATAAATGCATTGTATTCTGTTTAACCTTAAGGTCGAAATAGATATGTAATTTCATCTTGAATATCATTTAGGTTAATGTTCTAGTTCTTTTTTTTTTCTTCAATTGCTCGTTATAACTTTTTTTAGTTAGTTTAGTTTTACTTTGATGCGCTTGTTTACGAGTATCATCTAGTATAATTTGAATCTTCTAGATAATTCAAGTTTTTTAGTAATTGACATGCACTATATAAAGAATATGTTTTAAGAAAGACAAACAAATGAAACGTATTAGATAATGAATATGCCTAGATGATGGAATTGTTGTCACTTTATCTTGCTCATATGTCAAGTATAAAAAAAATATATAAAGCTGTATTTGAATATGATTGTGTTCTGACGTCAATTTAACCTTAATTGACAAAATATATTTTTCAAATTTATATGACATTAAAAGAAAAAAGTAAATATTTACAGTGTTAACATACTATTTCTCATCAAGGAATAGATCATTTTCTTAAAGAAGATTTGCATATTGACGACTTTCCTAATTTCTATATGATGATATCGAATAGATATTAGTAATTAAATTAAGTCGTGAAAAAAAAGCATTTAGTTGTTGTTTGTTTCTTAATGAAATTTATACGACGAAGGTTTTCTAATCGATCAAATTTCATATTCATTCTATCGTACATGGATAGAATATATCTGTTCTATTGTTTTCTTTATTCTTTAATAAATAAGAAAGGAAAAAACCCATGTAATGGTAAAAAAATCTGCACCGAAGGAGGAAATTGAGCTCTACAAATTTATTCAATTTTTTTCATGAACATTTCTATTGTATTTATTGTGTTCTCACAGAAGGATCCAATGTGACAATGAATTCATTGTGTGACAAGGAATCGAATGTAGAAAAACATAGAAAACGGAGAAGATATTTTCCTTGTTTGACATATTCTTTCATCATTTGTTGGTTCAGACTAAGTTTTCTCTTTTTTTTCTTGTTGAGAAAAAACCATGACCATATTGTGCGTCTTTGCTTATAACGCGTGATGAGACGACCCTACTGAGTACTCTTTGTTAAAAAAAATAGGTGCTTAGTCAAGAATAGAAACAGAGAGAGAGAGACAGAAAAGAAAGTATGTCAATGTTAGAGTGAGAGAAAAAGTAGTTATGTCAACAATACAACTATGAGTAGAGCTATAGAACTGCAAATGAACTCGCTATCGATCTTGAGTATAGATGTTCACGAATGCATAGTATAAAAGTTGTGCTTTCCTGCCGAAGAAAAGATAAATAAAAGAGAAAGCCAGATAAATATCGAGAATATAGAAGCATAAAATTACTATTACTACCTCTGAATAACGTGATCTTTCAAATAACGACCAACAACGGAGATTCTAAATGTATATTCATATAATGAACATATAACCTTTACAAATGAGATAAAAAAAACAACAACAAATAAATGGCTGCCGCTGCTAGTCGACGTCGTATTACTTATGCTGCATTTCGAACACGAAGGTATACATTTATGTTGTAATTAACTTAAAACTAATATTTATTTAATATGAATAAGTTCAAACTAATGAATTACATTGATCACTTAATATTGTATTATTGATGATCTAAAGAAATATTTCTCTTGTCAAATGAAGTGAATATAATATAATTTATCTTTATTAAACAAAAAGAAAAGACGTAGATGATCATAAAACATAATAGATTTATGATATTCATATTATAGAATTGAAAAAGCAAAACAACATAGTTTGTTGTTTGTATTTTATTGAATTATTTTGAGTACTAAAAATAGTTGTATATTTATTATACGAGAAGAAAACTGTGAAAAAAAAACTCTTAATCACTAAGATACTCATGTTAATAAATTTTTGGAGACGTGTTTTTTTTTAATGTTTTGCATATTCATTCTACTGAAGATCTTTTTCTTTTTTTTCTTTATTATCTACAATGAATAGAAAAGGACAAAGAAATGCGTGATACCAACAATAAACTAATTGATAATTTTACTTTACCATGTAGTTGTCAGGATATGTTTGTATGTTTGTTTGAATACACTTGAATAAATAAGTACTCGAAATGACTTAAGTTATTGTTTGTTAAACTCTGTAGTTCCTTTTATACAAAAAGAAAAAAAAAAGAAAAAACTTGTTTGTGACTACATACCGGAAATCACCATCTTCCTAATGTTTAAACATCTTTTCTTTCTTCTACCTTGTCTTCTCATGTTCTATATAATGAATTACATTTATACTGACATCCGTTTTTTCTTTTTTTGTTTGTCAATGATATATACTAATGGCGTGTGAATAAGAAATAGACATAGTTTACAAAAAAACAAAAATGAAGAAGAAAAATAAGAGTACTGTCTTCAATTTATTCAAGATAAAAGATCGTGATATTAAAAAAAGAACTTATTTATCATTGGTAACAATGATATATATGAATAAATGTCTAACAAATCAATAAAAAGACTAATTTATCTGTTTCTTTTTTTTTCTTCGTTTGCTTTTTTTTTTTTCTTTGGTGCATATTCTTTAAACAAGTAACTATGATTAAGATCGATTCGTGTTAGACATATATCCTAGGAAATGCACGAGTAACATCAGATAATGATTACACTTGTTCGACTAGAAAAAAAAAAAAACACACATGATAAAGAAGAACGAGAATGAGGAGTAGGTCAATGAGAAGACAAATTGAGAAAAAAAAAAGCAAGCAATGAAGAAAAAAAGAAATAGACACATACGCATCATATACTCAGTCATATATACACAGGAAGTGTCGGCAGACTAATTCGATTACGTCTTAGGTTTTTTTTCTTTTTACAACGGTCGACAAGTCAGTGATTCAAGCGATTTATGCTAGTGATGCCCGATCATAATTATATCACTGCGCTTCATACTATTGGCGAAGATCCATTTCTTATTGCTCTTTTATTTTTCTCACACACACATAAAGATATACATATGAATGCATGTGTTATTCAAATATATACATATATATATATGGGATTTATTATGATACAAATGGGTTCTAGTATTAAGACAATTGCTATTTGAAACCACGTTTGTCGACAGGTGTGATGAGATTTTCAATAAGTCGTCTTTCACTTGCTATTATTTTTTTCATTGATGTAACATTGTCATCAAAGATTCGAACGACATTATAAGAGAACGAGAAAACGAATATAGCACCGTCCCTCGCCCATACAAATTAATAGCATCCGTTCGCTCGGCTAACATCACCAGTAAGCTGTTCTTCTCTCTATCTTTCTCGCCGCCTTGTTAGGCCTGTTTTTGCGTCTTCCAACGAAACAGGCTCTGCTTTTGTTCTCCTCTTATTCGCAAAGCATAGTTTTTACAATTGATCCAGACAACGATTCTATTTTGTATTCAAAAGATACAAAAGAAAAGCTACAACTGGTCTTGTGAAAGCATTAATTTGTGTATATACATGTGTGACTCTGTACTTGTTCTATTATTTTCAAATATTTTGTGTTACAATTCGTCTATATAAAAAGAAAAAGAAAACAAACAGCTAATCATCATGTCATTAGATGCTGATATCGATGAAGAATCGTGTTCATCAACATCGTTATCTAGACGTCATTTTCTTATTGTTCCTTCATTTAATCCTGAACGTCGACATTCATGGGGAAGTGTTGTATTACGTCCATCACATCGAAATCATGTTGCTACATCATCTATAACTATTACTGCCAATGCAGATTCTACTAGAAGGTGAGAGTTTTTATTCGTGACATATAACGCCAGGTGTATCGACATGCACTTGACGTTTATTAAGCAGAAATGAGAAGAGGAAAAAGAGAGAAAAATGGAAAAAGAAAAAAAGAGAAAATATGACTAAAGATAGTAAATGTCAAAGTTGAAAGAAAATAGACTATGACTACATCTTGCATGTGTGGCCTTATTCGTGTCTCATTGCTACTTTTCTTCCGTTGTTCACTATCGACCTTCATGTATATAGACTTATGTTTACAACGATACTAAAGACAAAAAGGAAAATATTCAGGTTCTTTTTTTTCTTGTATAAGTTTCTATGTTAATATATATTGATAATGGATTTCTATCGACGTTTTCTTACTCTACCTTTAATCGAACGACGTCATTCAATCGGACCAACATTAAGTGGCAAACGTGTCAAGTGAGCATTTTCTTTTTTCTATTTTCTTTTATTTTATAACTTAAATCCAAACATACACAAAAGCAAGATTCAATAATAAAAAAATATTTTTCAATGAGATTTTTTTTCTCTCTTAACTTCTAAAATGATAAAATATTCTTTTGAATAAGGTTGTTTCTTTTTATGTTATATTATATTTTTACATATCTTGACTGTAATCTAACATTTCTTATATTATTTATTATCATGCACAAGAAGAAAAAGAAGATGATAAAACATTTAGTTAAACATTTCTTTTTGTTTTTTCTATTTCGAATAAAAGTTTAAGTAAGCTTCATAAAATATAGATTAAAATACCAACGAAAAATTTATTAATAGCATTTAAATACTAATTTATTTGTTGATTAAAAAAAAAATTTTTTTTTTTGCTGTAAAATTAAGTATTCATTATCCAGTCTTTTTTTTATCCTCTTCTGTATTTCGTAAATCTTGACATATGTTGATAACTTATTGAAAATAGAAAAATCTTTTACAAATGAACAATAGACACATCATAGTAATTTAAATAGAACGACATTTTATTAATAAAGATTTAATTTTCTTACAATTAGATTAATCGTATTTTATATAGAAATGTAAAGCAGTTGAATCTGTTTTATGAGAGTAACTAAGTACAATATTGTTGTTCTTTTTTTTTTTTTACACTTGTCAATCAAGAAAATAGAAATAAAAATTTTATTATGACTTTCTGTACGTGACTTATCATTTATGAAAATAGCTTTAAAAAAAAACAACCAAAACAATAGAGTTATTTTTTTTTATCTACCATGATACCAAAAAAAGGTCAAAAAATAAAATCTCATATTATTTTATTGAAAATCATTTCTTGATTGATGAAGGCTTTTTTTTTCACTCCATTTATTTATGAGTAAGTCAATTTTAATTGACATTTTTTTAATAGAAAAAACATAAGTATTAGTTCTTGTTTAAAAAGTTCAATGATTTACTTTCACTATTTCATAGTATTCATATGTATATTAGACTTCCTATGTAATAAAAAAACAAAATAAGACCGATTATATTTTCATTGTTTTGATTGGGTTAAGACACGCCCCAGCTGTTTTTGCTAGAATATATATTTTATGTAAAACCGGAAAGAAACTAATTGTAACTACAATGTTATTTTTCAACTATTAATTTACTGATGTTGAAAATCAACATATTATTTTCTTCATACATATGATGTTATTCTGTTTTATTTTTTACTAAAAAATACTTCAAGCAAGATTTTGTTCACAAGAAAACATATGTCTTCAAGGATAATTTGTCAAAAACATTACATATTCGTCTTTATCTTTTTGAGAAATATTTGTCTTCAAAATAGTATTTATTTGTTAAGTTAAATATTATATCATTATTTATATAAATAAATATAAATAAATATATCCGTCACAATTCTATATTATTATTTGTTTGATGTAACTAATTGTTCATGACAAGTTAATCAAGTGATTGTCATATCGTATTAACGAAAAGAGAACAAAAAAAGAAGAAATGATCTTGTCCTAGAATACCAGGTGACGGCGCCATCTTTTACTCTGTCTTTTATTCCTATATTCTATTCCGTTTCATCGTCTCTTTTTGCTCTTGGTGTTGATGGATGGAGAGCAGAAGAGCACGGCTTGTTTTCGTCACACATACACACACACACATATATATATATATATACAACACTGATTGACACTTCCGTTTGTGTGCTTGTATGTGCATATGTCTATGTGTCATATTGAAGAGAATAACGGCCTTGAAGAAAGCGAAGCAAGAAGATTTTTTTTTATCTTGTTCGCTTGCTAGTATGGTACTCTAACTTGCTATGGCCAGAATCATGACGACGTTACTGATATGTTTCTGTATTTGCCTTGTCGTTGTCGATTCTATAGTTGTTGTGCTGTTAGAACAGCATTGATAGAAACTGTTGTAACAGTTAGATGCAAGCAAGAACGCAAAAAAAAATGTCATCAATGTTCGTTCGTTTGTCTTCACCGCTATACACACACATGCACGTATACCTCTTCTTTTGCTACCAGCAGTGCCACTTCATTCATATGTTATAAAGAAAGAAAAAAAAAACTGAGAGAAGAAAGAAAAGAAAAAGAGAAAATGATACAGAAGAAAAGAAAGCGATCGTTCTTTCGTTTGCGTTGTTGTGTTCGTCCGTTCTGTTTCTTATCCCATGATTTATTCCGGCGTTCTGCTGGGTGCCACGGCCACCAGAAGTATCGTCATTGCTCTCTCTCTCTCTCTCTTTCTCTCGCATCATCATCAGAAGGCTGTAGCTGCAATAACGACTGAGAGTGAGAAAGAGAGGGAGAGAGAGAGAGCAAGAGAAACACGCCCGCCCGCGTGTGTGTGGCTCGTCAACAACAAGCAACGTTGCTCTCGTCGTTTCTCGCGTGTATGCTGATTCTCGGTTCTTTATCGTTGTTGTCGTCGTCATTCGCATAGAAGTCAATCACGAGTGTCACCAACAGTCCCCCACCGCCGGTCATTTCGATCACACGATCGTCATCATCGTCGGACGTATCATCTCCTACCATTTGGTCAGCTCTTACTAAACACAAAAAGAAAGTCTTGTCACCACCATTTTCACAATCCCCTACTTCCTTTTCCTCAACAACAATCCGTTCCTTTCCATTTCGATGTTGCGGCGCGAGAAAACGTTCACATCAAATACCATCCATCGAACAAACTTCTACGAGTATTTGTACACGTCGAAAAAGCTCGACATCAAATATTTCATCACGCCCATTTTCAACTTCATTGATTCAAAATCATCAAAATACACATACAAAGACGGCAACAACATCAACAACGGCAATAACAATATCAACAAAATCCACGAAAAAACGTCGCCGACGTGGTGGAATGGCATCGACTTGTACGTCATGCATTTCATCGAATAACAGCCGACGACAAAGTTCAATTACAGATGATGTTACAACCGTCCCTATTCATTCATCCCCAAATTCTTCATCACGAACTCCACCTTTACTTATTCGTCTTGGACGAATTATATTAAGACGACGGACAGCTACCAATGCTAATCATAGTAAAAATCCTACAGCCAATAACAAAGCCAGGTAAATCTAACAAAATATAGTTACTGATTGAAAAAAATCATTATGGCCTCTTTTTTTTATGCAAATTCTTGATAAGCTATATTATGCGCATTGATGATTTCTATCCCTGACTGGTAATGCATTCAATATTTCCATTGACAGTCGAAAGAAATCTCAGGCAGAAGTATTTCTTCATTTTCTTTTTTTAATAAAACATACAACTATTCTTTTATTCTTCTCATCTATCGACTTATTTCATCAGTAACAATAACATACACACACCAAAAAAAAATTGACAGCTCGCGTGCGCGCCTTACCGAAATCGTTTATTGCGCTTGAAGAAATAAAAAACTTAACAAACAAACATACACTTATTATATATGTAAAGTATTCCTTTCTACTAACGAAAAATAACAGTAACGAAAAAGAACGTTCTTTTCTCCTTCCCCTTCTGTCTTCTATTTGCACTCATAACAAGTTCAATCGTACAAAATAAGATTATAAGTAGATATCGACATGTACATGCATATTTATGTATATCACTGTATGTATGTGTGATTACTGATTGAAAAAAACGGAAAAAAAAAGCAATAAAATTAAAACGTCCACTATTAAAAATGAAGAGAAAGAAGATATAATACATAGCACCGATAATAACAATAATAATAACTCTCTAGAGAAGAAACAATCGAAAAAAGTCCACGTAACATACACATACACATGAATACATTTACTAGTGATAATAGCTTTTTGTGCGTATATGTTTTACACATTTCATACTGTTGGTTTTTTTTTAGCATAGAACGTTGATGGAAATTCTAGAATTGAAAAAGAACAACAAAGAGATATTAAGTCAATGTTGATAATGGGAAAATTTCATAAAGATTTTATTTATGTATATATGCTCTTTTTTGTATAGAAGTATTTATTTTTAAAATAAATCATTTAAAGAGCTTTCGGAAATGATTTTTCTTTATTCTTGCCGATATATAGTCGCACATGGTTCGACGGCTGTTTGAAAATATGATTATAGCCGACAGAAAAGGAAAAATAACTTTTTTTTCCTAAACTTATAAATACTATATTCCTTTTTTTCTTTTTCTTTTTCATATAAATAAACGTCTAATTTATCTATATCATTTTTGAAAATGATCTTGTTTTAGTTGTTTCTACAAAGAATATTGTATTCATTAGATAAAAAAAAAGATAAGATTTACTTAATCGTATCATAGCTTTAGGTAATTATTTGTTTTCTTTTGTAATAAAGATAAAGACGGCTGTCACCTTATGTTACTATTGAAGTATGCATATGCATCGACCGGAAGTAACTTAAGGATGGTGAGGAAGTTTGCTTTTATATAAAATAATACAAGAAAATATTAAAAAAACTTGTCATCAATGTTTTTCAACTGTTCAGATTTCCTGAGCAGAGAAATACATTTGTATAAATATATATATCTCAAGAGACATCAAGACTACGTGGATAATCGTCAGTTAAAAATATATAAAGATAAGATTGAGAATAAGAGATATAAGAAGAACAAAAGAAGATAAGAGTATTCTTTTGTATTTGACCCAAACATAACAATCCATGAATGAATAAACCTTGTCGTTCATATAACTGCCGTTCTAATTCGAATAGTTGTTTTTCACTCGATCGATGAATAGACTCATTAACTTAAAGCTATGTGTTTGTGGATATATATTCGAATATTGTTAAATGGCCATGGTGAGACGAAGCGAGAAAATCCATTTGGATGATTGCTTTTACCAATCTGAAGTTTTCTCTCTCTCTCTCCTTTATCGTCTACTTCTTCTTACGACATAGTTATAGTTACCAGTAGTTAGAGTTTTTTTGAGTTGTTTGCGTGTTACCAAACCGAACGGAAAGACCGTTAAACTGCCTCCATCTAACACCAGCATACTAGCACCGTTATATCTGCTATGCATCTGCCTCTTCGTTTCTCTCTCTCTCTCCTCCATCATTCTAACTGTCTTCGTCTTCGTCTTCATCCTCTTCTTCTTCTTCTTCTTCTTCTTCTTTTTTCACACTCCTTGTCGTTAGTTCTGGTGACTGAAGAAAAGAGAAAGTAGAGAGTCTTGATTTACTGTTTTTATTGTTCGCTCTTTATTGACGATCGACGTTGATATCCGGACCTATTTTCTTCACTCTATTTTCATTTCAATATTGTCATTATCATTATCATCATTATTCTTGTCTGATGACGACACTTACTGTTTATTTTGCTTCATCACCAACATCGCTTTCATCATCATCAAAAAAAACAACAGCTACTACTACTATTAGTAGTAGTACCACTATTACAGGAATTCCAGCGATTCGAACTATTCAAAATTTAACAAAATCAATACCGTCACCAACAACACCAAGTATTACTTTACAAACTTCAACATCATCAACACAAACACCACTATCAAGTCGAGTATCATCAAAACGTACTAAAACGTTCTTTGAAAGATTTAATCAAACATCTCCATCAACACTTCTATCAAATCCACAATCTCCACCAAGTCATCATCAACATCATCAACAACAACAATCAACTGATTCATCAAATCCTTCAATAGATCCACCAACACGTTTACGTCGTAGATTTACATTTCGTCGTAGCCTTCGACATTCAATTCATAACAAAGGAGGAGATACTGATGATGGAATAAGGTCGGTTTTTTCTTTTCTTAGTGTAAAATTTTTTTTTTCGCTATGTCGATATTTGTTTTACGCGCCATCAAAATGATCGATGACTTCCTGTCGTACAACACAGCATGATTACTAACCAGCTGTCGATCTTTCTACGTACTCTTGTACATATCTAGAAAAGATCTTATTAACATTGATTTCCATATGTGACCAATCGAATATGTTATTTTTTTATAGAATTCTCTTATCAGAATTGTTCCCTCAATACATATGTATAGAAGCTATAAAGAGTCGATTTTTTATTGATTTCTGCTTAATATAATAAGTCAGGCATCATAACAAGTGTCAAAACAAAAACAGACAAAAAAATAGACAAAAAAATAGACAAAAAAATTGTATCTATAAATAAAGGTAAATTTGACATAGAACAGATTTTACACCTGTTCAAATTTAGTTTTTAATACGTACATTTTAATTTAGTTGAATTTCTTCATCATATAAGATCATTAATATTTATGAAGAATAATATTAATATTAGAAGTCTTTCGTACGATATGAGACCTCGTTTACAACGAAGTCTACGATCCTATCAGATTGAAGACAAGTAAGAAAAATAAAATGTATATTGTAAGAGTTTTTCATGCATGAGTATAGAATTAAAATTGGATCAATTATTGGAAAACAACGATGTTTGTTACTAACAAGATGAATAGATAGAGTAATAAGAAAAAGAAAAAAAAAAAAAAAAAAACGAGAGAGAGAAATTTCCCTGAAGGGAAAAAAATTTCGTTAATATGAATATTTTCTCAATTCCTATAGAGATTTCTCTATATTGAGAAGATCAATTCATTTATATAAGTTAATAATATTGTCGAAAGATATTTGATATTACTTCTTGTCTTTAAAAATCGAATAATAAAGAAAATATTCAGCTATCTATATTTGTTTTTATGACAAGGAAAAAAGAAAACATGAAGTGTTTTTTTTTCTTTGTTATTATCTAATAGATTAAGAATTGATGAAATCTCAGAAGTCTATATAGAGAAATTCTAGCTATGTCTATCTAATGACCAAGAATTTGCATTGAGAAAAAACAAAGAGTTTGTGTTTGAGAATGAAGATAAATATGCTTAAGTGATGGATTGTTTACGTTAATAGAAAATAAAACGGAAATTAAGCTTAAGAATAATTATTAAACGATTCTCTATTCAATATGATCTACCAAAAACAAAAAGAACAAAATCGATTTAGAAAATCTTTTTAAGATTTTTATATTGAATATAATAAATTTAATTAAATAAAAAAAAAAAAAAAAGAAAATTAGATTTATATACTATAACTAAATTTATTCAGTTATCTTGATATTCGTAAAGAAAAAAAGACGTAAATGAAGCGTGACTTAATATATATATATTTCTTTATTTTTTTCTCTCGTTCTCTTTTTTTTCTATCATTGATTCTTCATTATTGACATGAATGTTTTCTTCTATTTTGACTGATTCGTTTATACTGAGCTAGTTGAAGTGACACGCATAGATATAAACATATACATACAAATATGTATACAAATCATCATGAAGAAGAACGTCAACTATCTTATAAATATTGGAAAAAGAAATTAAGAAAGCAGTTGAGTAGTATGTATGAAATATCAATAAGTTATTTATTAATAAAAATGATTTTTTTATACAAAATAATAGACACTTTTTTTTTTTTTCTTAAATTTTCTTATCTATTTTAGTTTTGATGTGGATGGATCATCACCACATGGTGTTATTAATTCTCATCATAATACATCATCAACAACATCACATAATCAACAACATGGTTCAACGAATACAACTAATAAAACAACAACTACTGCTAGTGGAATGCATCGACGTGAATCATTTTTGTATAAATATGATAGTGACAATGATCTTTCACCAAAATGTATTTCGCGCAATCCGTCCATCGGATCTGAATTGTAAGTAGTTAGAATATGTTGAATCGATAAAAAAAAGAAAAAAAAGGAAGGAAGGAAGAAACGAAGAAGAAAAAAAATAGAAAAAAAAAGAAAAGAAAGAGAATTGCCTTCTCTTCTTTTGCGCCCTCATTTTTTGTTTTCTCTTTTTCTTTTTCTTTTTGCCATCGTTCGTTCGTCTTTCTCTCGTTGCCAACTGTACCCCTTGTAGTCGTGGGGCACGCGTTTATGCTTCTGACTTTCTGTTGGCTACCCACTTCGAACCGAACATATGCCGCGCTATCGATGAATGAGAGAGAGAGTGAGTAAGTGTGTGTGTGAATGTGAGTGAGTGATCAATAAAAAAACGAGAACAAGTATCATGGAGCGTGTCAAGAGCGCCATTAAAAAACCAATTCTTAGACTTGGTTCAAAATTATCTGGCAAGTAAGATTAATATACATATTTATATAATTAAAATCATCTAATATTTATCTTGATTGTTGTTTCTTTTCGTTTCAAAATTTCTTTGTCTTTTTTTGTTCTTTTTGCTTTTATATCTGATATGAATATTAGACTTATTTTCTTTTGTTTTCTTTATTCATATAGTTATCTCAGAGTTGTTATTTTTGCTTACACGTCCGGTACCAGAGTTGTGTTCTTGCATTGCAATCAGAGTTTGTTTCATTTGCGTTTTTTGACAGAACTACGCCACGCACACATTTGTTTCTTATCTTGTGTTCCCATCTCACGCTCACTCCCTGCTCCTACTCACTTTGTATAGCTGTCTCCCCTGCCCTCGCTCTCACTCAACTCATCCGCACCAACTAGTAACAACAAAGAAGCAAATAAATGAGAATACAGAATAGAACTAGTAATAGCAACAAAAACATCAGACATCATCGACTATATATATATATGTACGAAGTAATACAGAGCTAGACACTAGTCGGCATTTATTTACATTAACAACTTGTTTACCTAGTCAAAGTGAACTTGCTTTTGATCGTCAACGGACATCCCATGTTTCCGTGATAGAACGGTGTTATTTCTTTATCTTGGTTTTTTTCTTTTTCTCACTTTTCCTTATCAAATCATTGTTTCTCCTGAGATTATCCTTTTATCACTTTAGTTTTTCGTTGACATAGGAATATAATAGTAAAAAGAAAATGAAAAAAAAAGAGATATTTTATTGGTTTTTTTCTTTCTAAGGATTTTATATGAATAATTTTTTGTCTTTTTTTTTTTTCTATTGAAATCATTATTCATTTTCATGTTCTCTTATTTTATTTGCGAACATGTATATATATATATATCTGCTTCGTAAAATCTGATTGTTTGCAAGCCTGCTAAACTAAAGACATGTACATAGGCACGTACGATCAGAGCAAGATTTGTTGTAATCTTTGAGAAGAAGAAATAAAAAGGAAGAAATCCAAAAAGAATGCTAAGAATTGACTATGATTGAGGAAAACGGACATATGGAGACAGAGCCGAAAGAAAAACAAAACTCTTGACGAGAGTCAAAACTAAAGTGGAAGAATAGTTAAGTCAAGACTGTCATTAATGTGTGCCTGAATAACATAAGCTAGCAAAAAAAAAAAAATATATATATATATATTGGAAAAATAAACACTTAACGTGAGACTCAAGCCCATAACATTGAGATCAAGAGTTTCATGCTCTACCGACTGAGTTAGTCAGGCTGATCAAAACTTGTCTGTATGCATTCTTTTAATAATTGTCATCATTTGTTTTTTTTTTTTCTTTTCATATATACAAGTCATATAACCGGTTGTTGTGATTTTCATTCACATAAGTGATATTTAGATGAAAATGAAGCCCGCTTTTTCTTTAACGACAAGACTCATTCCTCTGGTGTCATTTCTCGAGTTTTTTTTTTCTTTTCTCGGATTTTCTTCTTCTTAATTTTGTTGCCGATGCCTTTCAGCTCTTGTTCTCTCATTTCATTCTGCTTTTTTCTCTTTAGTAGAAAAAAGGAAAAATTACAACGATAATTCTAAATAGAATGATGGCGTGTCTCATCTTTGTTTTTTGAATATTTTCCGCTATATTTATTGCCATCTTTTCATTCGCACTTATTCTTATATTATACTTCGTCTGTTGTTTTTATTGTGCGCATTTGACTTTCTCGGTCTGTGTATATTTTATATTCAACAAAACAAAAAAAAGAAAAGACAAAAATGCATAGTAGCAATAATAGTTTTCCAACTAAACAACGTATGAAGATATGTCGTTCGATTACTGTTCAAAGTGCTTCATCTGATAGTAGAAGCGCTAAATACAAAAATGATCGCGCATCTAGTACAACAAATATGCATACTATTGAGCGGTAGGTCATTGATTGCACTTGTACGTGTTATATATATGTATATATGTATATCAACATATTCTATGCGTGATCGGCTTAGTCTTGTTAAGAAAAAAAAAACAAAGAAAGGAAGCAATTAAAGAAAAAGATCGACTTTTTTGTAATGAGACATGTCTTTTATTAGCATTTTATTATTATTATTATTATTATTATTATTACTGCTTTTTTCATTATTTTACAGGCACCAGGATGACATGATTGTCACTCCATTTGCTCAGCTGCTTGCCAGCCTTAAAAATGTACGGAAAAATTTTGTCGATCTTACTCATATACCTCCCGAAAGGTAAACGAAATGAATTACGTTTTACTTTACGAGCATTTATTTTTTCATATATATTTATTTATTTAAGGGCGAAAAGATCAAGTCAACTTGGCTGTGCTCAAGCTGCTTCACCAAATTTTTCTAAGGTGACAACGACAACAACATCAGGTATGAGATTTACTAATAATTAATAAATAAAAAAAATGAAGCGTTTTGTTTTTTCTTCATGTTTAGATGATAATTCATTATCACAAGCAATAGCTACGCTAGAAGAACTTGATTGGTGTCTAGAACAATTAGAAACAATGCAAACTCATAAATCTGTTTCTGATTTAGCCTCGCTCAAAGTAAAAACAATAAATAAAATATGGTATATTTAATTAATTTCTATTTCTTTCTTCATATTTTAGTTTAAGCGTATGCTCAATAAAGAATTATCTCATTTTGCCGAAAATAATAAATCCGGCGCACAAATTAGTGATTATTTATATTCAACTTATACAGGTATAGAAATATTTAATCTGAAAATAAAACAAAAATTGAACAAATGTTTTTTTATTTTTCTATAATAGACAAAAAAGAACCTGATGTTGATTTATCTCAAACAATACCATCTTCACGTGGTCTTCCAAATGATGAATCAAATACAATAATAAAATCAAGAACTACTGATACATCAATAACACCACCAGCATTAATGGGACAAATAGTCGGTTTACAAAATATAACAACAGTATTAACACCAAACACGTCAATACCTGAGTTAGGTGTTGATACACTACATATTGATGAATTACGTTCATTATTAAGTCATATTAATGATTGGGGTTTAGATACATTTCGTATTGAAGATTTAAGTGGTCAACGACCATTAACAGCAATAACATATAAAATATTTCAAGAACGTTTTCTACTAAGGACATATGCTATTGAACCTCATACATTAATTTCTTATTTGCTCACACTTGAAGATCATTATCAACAAGTACCATATCATAATAAAGCTCACGGAGCTGATGTTTGTCAATCAATGCATGTATTGCTCAATGCTTCGGCACTCGACGTAAGAGAAAAGAAATTTTTATTTATATATATATATATATAAATATAATTTTCTTTTTTAATAATAAAAAGGGCGTGTTCACCGAATTGGAGATCATGGCGGCGATATTCGCATCGGCAGTGCACGATGTTGACCATCCCGGTGTAACAAATCAATTTTTAATTAATACTAGTAAGTATTACAAAATCAAAAGACAATATAAATATTGATGAATTAAAAACAAAATACGTTTTTTTTTTAGAAAATGATTTAGCGTTAATGTATAATGATGAAAGTGTATTAGAAAATCATCATTTAGCCGTTGCATTTAAATTATTACAAGCTGACGAAAGAAATATATTTTCACATTTAACAGCTAAACAAATAAAAACATTACGTAAAATGGTTATTGATATGGTTTTAGCGACAGATATGTCTAAACATATGCAATTATTAGCTGATTTAAAAACAATGGTTGAATCGAAAAAAGTTACTGGAAATAATATAATTATGCTTGAATCATATGATGATAGAATACAGGTGCTTCAAAATATGATTCATTGTGCTGATCTATCAAATCCAACTAAACCATTAGATATCTATATTAAATGGACTGATCGTATAATGGAAGAATTTTGGAGACAAGGTGATAAAGAACGTGATCTTGGATTAGAAATTTCACCCATGTGTGATAGACATGTAGCTAGTGTAGAAAAACATCAGGTTTGTTAAGCAAAAAGAACAAATATTAGAATTTTAATCTAAACTTAATTACAACAAAAAAAAAACAAAATAAAATATTTTTATTTAGGTTGGTTTTATTGAATTTATTGTACATCCATTATGGGAAACATGGGCTGATTTAGTTTATCCAGATGCAAGTAGTATTTTAGAAACATTAGAACAAAATCGTGATTGGTATCAAGCACGTCTTTCATCTCCATCATCATCATCAACTACAACGGGAAATTTATCAAATTCTCCGACAAATATAAATATTTCATCATCATCATCACAACATCAAGATTCAATTCAACCATTGTCATCATCTTCGTCATCATCATCTCCATCTCCTATGTCATCAGATGTTCTTACATCAACTTCAATTCATTCGACAACACTAAATGCGAATTCAGCCGGTGATCAGCTCATTCCCACATCTTTATCTCCTTCACCATCAGTATCATCCACATCTCGGACAATACCCACTGCAGGAACATCAAATCCGAGTGGTAATGGTGGTGAATTCCAAATGACGGTGACACCAGCCACGTCCTAAGATCGATGAAAATTCTTTTTTTTTTTGTTTATCTCTGCTCTTTTTTTTTCTCTTTTCTTCCCTTTGTTCCCATTTCTCATCCTCAATCAAAATCTCTCTGTTTCTCTTTCTCTGTTTTCAGTGTAATGCGGCTCATCCGCACTGTGTTCTGTTTCTTTTCTTTCTGGTATGATCTGTTTTATTCTCTTTTTTTTTGTGTTCGGTGTTTGAGCCGGCCTCTTCTTTCTTTTTCTGTCTCTCTCGACTCGAATAAAAAACACTCAAACGACATGAAATCAGGTAAGGTTTAATAATTGTTTAACAATGAATGATTATAAAAAAAGACGAGAGACTTGATGAGCTTAAAGATTTATTTTAAAATTTCTTTCTTTTTTCTTTCTTTCTTCTTTCTTTTTATTTTGTTATGCATTGTGCATGACAACGAATCTTTGGAGTGTATGCAAAGATATTTAATAAGCTTTTTTTTTTCTTTTTTTTTAAAAGTCTTAGACAGAATATTGTAAGATTAAGTTTTAAATTTTCTTTAATAAAAAAAATATGCTCAATCTATAAATAAATTACCTCTTGAATATAGCAGAGTTCTCTATATAACAATAGTCTATTTCAAGGATCGAGTGAAATTTACTTTTCTAATTTATCCTGCTATTTTTACTTCACATATAGTTGATTGATTGATGAAATAAAGCAAGAAGTAAAAGAAAACTTGCCATTAATCTTAATTAAGATTTTCATGCAGTATCATAATTATATTCGTCATAGCTTGGTAATATGAAATAGATTTATTAATAAAGTATTTTTATTCAATGCAAGATTTAACACGTATATATATATATGTATGAGGTGGCCTAAAAGTCATTTTATCGAAAGAAAATTAAATATCATAGGCATACTTTGACTTAATGGGTTGATTCTTTTTTTACCTTTGACGAAGGTGTGTTCATAGTTTATATTCATGAAGAAAACGTCGACAAAAACCGTGTCGAAGTGTCCTCATTGCCCTAAACATAGCTCAGAAGATCTGCAAAAATAGTAATGTACCCCTGGAGCGAAAATCAATGATGCAGCTATTTTTTTTTCGAATAGGTTTCCACACTATTGCCATTTGGTCTCATATTTATACCATAGATTCATATTTTTTTTTACATATTACACCGTGAAAATTTCAGTCTTAAACAATGGGAGTTTCTTAAAAGAACTATGAATGTGTCTCATATGTTCTTATGTCGCTCAGAAAAAATTTTCTTGTGATGATCATTTCGGCATCATTTTTGGTTTACTTTGAATTTCGAAAAGTCGGACATATTGGCAATCTTCAAACTGTCTAAATAGCTAACTAAATATCATCCAAGAATTTAAATACAACAAGAAATGATTACAATGAGTAAATATTGTTTCTCTCACACCTCATGAAAAGTGCCTGTTTCTCCATTGGGGTCAACGGTGGCCCTTCAAAACAGTTTTAGTCAAGATTTTTCTTATGAATATAGACTGTGAACACACCTTTATCATTGGTGAAAAAAATTACTCCATTTAGTCAAAATATGATGTGTGATACTCAATTTTTTTCTCAATAAACTGACGCCTGCGCTACTTTTCATATTCATCGATTGTAAAACTGCAATTCTTTTCTAGTTGAATCAATCATTTAGTCGACGAAAAAAGATCATTTGAAACGAATATAAATTGTTGACATACAGAACATTAGTGAAAAAGATGTCAGAATATGACAAATAGTTGTTATCTTTTGTTCTAACTGGATATGTTAAAAGATAAATAAAACACAAGATACTCATTTAAATTTATTTAATTTTCAAAAAATAGAAAGTTAGTCGTTATGATTTAGATTCTAGTTTAAATCGAACTCATTAATATTTTAACCTATTCGACAGAGTAATAAAATAATTGAGATATGACGATGACATATAAATGGTCTACCTGACGAATTTATTGTTTTTTTTATTATTTTTATGATATTTACCAATGAGCAATTCAATGTTATATTTGATGAAAGAATTATTGATATAACTATATTAAATAAAATGAAGTAAAAAACTTTAATGCTATTATTAGTTTTCTATTTGCTAAATCAACTTGTTAGTCATCAATTAATTTTATATGTAAAGAAAATTATATTGAATACTAATTTAATTATGATCTTAATAATTAGTGAAAAGTACAAATGAATGTATCATGATTTGTTTCAGACAAGTCAACAATTATAATAATGTTTAAAAAATTGATCAATCAGTTTAAGATGAATCAATCGATATGAATTTAATATCGTTGATCAATGATTTAAATTGATTAAATTATTGATTTATTATTAAATATAAGTGAAAAAAAAAATCTTCAAAAAATAAATAAAAATTCGATATTATATTTTAATAGGATACGAAAAAAATAAAAAGAATTATGCTTGTTATGTTATTTTAGATGAAAAATAAAAAATCCTCGAATAATACCGGATATGTAGCTGATATTAAAATACTTGATGTTGAAAAACGATATAAATCAGGATCAAAACATTATGTATGTGTAAAACAAAAATCTTCTCTATTCATAGTTTATAGACTTATAGGTTTATGTTATACAAGTTACTTGGTCAAATCCTGAAAACCTATTTATTATCTATCGACGTTATACACAATTTTTTGATCTTCAAGTAAATTCATTACATATTCAATTGTATAAATAAGTGAAAAAGAAATATTTTAGTGTAAATTACTTGATTTATTTGCTGAAAAACCATTAGAATCAAATAATGGTACTCAAATAGGTCGAATTCCATATCTTCCTGGTAAGACAAAAAAATTAAAAAAACAATACATTTATGAAACAATAATTCATGAAAATTTTTAAGGTAAAATTATACTTGGTCGAAGTCAAATACGTCAAATTGCTTTAGAACGGAAACAAACTCTTAATGAATACTGTCAGGTATATAATTTTATTTTTATTGTTAAAATAAAAAGTAAATACAAGTATTTGAAAAAAAAATCATCATAGAAATTAATTTCATTACCTGAACGTATTTCTCGATCTCGTCCAATACTTGAATTTTTTCATCCATTAATAACTGATGTACAAAAATCTATTGAACCATTTACGAATGAAAAAAATTTACTACGAAAAAATTCAGTTACTATAAGTAAACCATCAAAATTAGCAACATATCGATGTATAGAAGACTTTAATACAACAGATAAATTTGAAATGTCATTAAAACAAAATGATATTGTTGAAGTACTTGAAAAAAATGAAAATGGTTTGTTTAATATACATAAATAATCATAAAGAATAATTTTATTATATTTTAAGGTTGGTGGTTTGTTCAAAATGGTGATCACACAGGCTTTGTACCAGGAGCTTATTTAGAATCATCAGAGCTAGGATATGAGATTTCTGGAAACGAAACATTTGACAATTCACTTAGTAATTATAAAAAGTATTATAGAGAAAAATTTTATATCTCTTCTATATACAGATAAAACATATGTTGTTAATGAAAGATACGAAGGAAAGAGTTCAGATGAACTTTCATTAGATAAAGGTTCATTTGTAACTGTGATTGAAAAATCACTTACTGAATGGTGGATAGTTAAGTAAGTATTTTTATGAGATCAAAAAAAAAGAAGAACAGAAAAATAAACAAAAGATGTTTTAACATAGATTTAATAATATGACAGGTAAATTTCCAGCAACATATTTATCATTATGTGAAGAAATGTATACTTCAAAGAATGTTACAAGTAAATATTTGTTTTGAGTGATCATACATATGAAGAATTAAAATGAAATAATTTATTTCGAATATGTTTAGATGATACGTCTAATGTTACTGCTAAAATAGAAAAATCGGATTATTCTAATGATTCTGATTGGGTAGAATAGAAATTAGTTTAGTTTATTTTTTAATCATATATATTTATATATAATCTAGGATGATGATGATGATGAAGAATATCATGAAAAATTATTAAATGATACTAAATTCGACTTATATTATGCTCATAGTAATTTTATTGATAATATCGATAGTTGTTTATCATTTCAACGAGGTGATCTTATTGAAATACATAATAAACATTCAAGTGAATGGTGGTTTGGAAGACGAATGATTGATGGTCAAGTTTTGACATGGTTTCCAGCGAATTATTTACAAAAAGTATTATTAAATTTCTCATGTTCTATTTCATTTCATCACTTCTAGGAACCGGTTTTGGATGAAACTATTGATAATATATATGATGAATCATTCAATCCGGATCTTTCTAATTCTTCAACTAATAAACAACAACAAGAAACAGAAAAACTATCAACAGATATTATCTATCAAAATTTCGAAAGTCAAATTTCAGCTGATGCTATTTATTCAAAAGAAATCAAAACTCAACCAAGAATAGAAACAAAAAGTACTCATAAAGAGTCTTCTATACCTATTCCGCTTATTCCTATGAATGACAACCAAGAATCGACATCAAAATCAGTAAAAGATCTCGTAAAAAAATTTAATCAACGATTAGTATAATTCGAGAATGACACTATCTTTTATTTTTCTGTTTTTTTTTTTTATTAATCTTTGAAATATTTTTATACATATTTTGTACTAAAGAGTGTGCAATATTGATTCTGATAGTTATGATAATAATAAAAGAATGACCCATTGATTGTTCTGATTGATTCAGTTAAATGAAATTCATTTGAAATTCTCTTCACTCATACTTACCAAGAATTTTATTCACAATAGAAATGTTTTGTTATTTAATTAGACGTTTATACATAACTGATATAAGTATCAAATTGGTCCTATATTCGATTACTGGGATAAATATTACTTCTAAAAGTCCTTAAGATTATTGATAAATTCGAGAATATACATGTGTGGGATAAGACTTTTTCTTACCCTATACTCTTGACCGAGAAAAGTTGTCTTGTCCTATCCTACTTATCTCTATTTGAGAAGATGATAGATATATAATATATATATATGTGGATATAAAATCAGAAATGAAATCTAGAACGGCAATAAATGACAACGAATAGTTATTTCAAAATCTTTTTGTAAAAATTTATTTTCATCGAAGATAAGACTAGTTCTTTTTTCAAAACTTTTGATCATTAAAATTCATCGGAAGGTCATTCTATTCAACTTTGTATTAATGTCATTTTTTTCGTGTATCAATCTCCTCTATCAAAATTTACATGATGTCAAAAGAATTATATGAGAATTTGCTGTGTGTAAATGACTATTATTAATGGTCTATAGAAACATTATTTTTGCACGAATTGATTCATCATCATATCTACTCATATTCATTCATACCCATTAGATTTTATTCGAGTAGACAAATATAAAAGTTAAGATGCAGTTAAATTGCAAACACTAAAATATTTATGATTTTTGTCTATAAACAATGCTCATAGCATATCAAGTAATGCTAATTCGCGTCATTTTTGATGGTGTTTAGCATAAGTCTGAGTTTTATATGGATTTCTTATGTATTTATTGTCGACGAGGACAACATACACCGAATTAATCAGTAGGGACATATCACACATTCATGTGTCGAAGGGCATTCTCGACGATTAGGACCGCGACCACAAAAATAATCATTGAGTGAAGCTTGTCTATTCTCACATGAAGTCTCTTTACAATAACCAAATACGGATTTCGATAAAGCTAAAGAGACAATTGAACAAAGAAGAAGTATTGTAAGGAAATACATTTTCTAGTTTGTCGTTGTATAGTATTTTTATGTTCGATTTTCTGAAATAGTATTTATACTTTTTTAAAGCAACACAAATTATCTTTTGTCAATATTTGTGTTTTTCTTAAGCATTATGCACAGTAGCTATATCAAATGATTCGTATAGAGTATTGTAACAAAAGGCAGTACATAGATACCAGATGTGTTGATACAAAATAAATTGTCAACCGTCTGTTGTTGACAAAAACGAGCAAATGTTCTGTAGCATCTATTAGACATATCGTTGTTTTTTGCATGCACACCTAAGATTATTATGAGACTTTTGTTAAGCTTGAGAATATATATTATCAAAAAGAGCAAAATGTCATATGATTATAGTCATGATTAGAGATGTTAGCCGGTGCTTTGATTGGCGACGGCTAAAACTATTTGATGATCTGTTCAAAGCTTTCTTAGTTTTGAGAAATTTTGGAACAGAAAAGAGAAAAAAGAGGATAGAAAATGTTCTAATAAGGAACTAAATTAGAAGAACCTGGCAAACTGATCTTGGATGTTCAAAACATTTGATAGTCTAATATATATATATATTTATCTCGCGGTAGCGGCAGCTCAGTCACTTGGTTTATATCTCTAATCATGATCTTCACACATAGCAAGTGTTCTTTTTTTATGATTAAATTTATCTTGCAATAACAGAATTATTCATACTTTTCAGGTATGTATATTTTTTTTATGTTGTAGAATTTAAAAGAATTTATGAAGGTTTTATTCAATGCTTAACTATATATGTATGAGTTCAATATTTTGTACAAAGTAATTATTTAATTAATTGTGATCACATAACTATCATTATCATGCTAATAATTGTTAATCTTTTTCATTTTTAATAAGACGATTAAGTTCATAATTAATTCTTATGAATAATTATTCTATTTTTGACGAATCCAGAACTAATCAATATCTTCGAAAATTTCTTTTCTTCTTGCATAAAGCTCAAATAGTTGATTAGAGTAATGTTTGTATTTTATAGTTTTAACAACATATGTCATCTCAATTTACAAGGTTCGTCAAGTGTTTGAAATAATCGCCTTGATTATCCACACACAGTTGTATTCGTTGAATCCATCTATTGAATGTTTTTGTACTCTGATTTATTCAAAGAATTCATGAAACCATCATCCTCACCCTCACACTCAAGAACAAAGAAAAGATCGAGATAAGAATACATATCGAAGACAATATGGACTAATGTTAACATTACACATCATAGCTAAACAAGTCTCATGGAATTTGTATTATTATGATATTATATTTTCTTAGGATTAGTAAAATAACAATAACATTAGATCACATTTACATATTTCGATCAATTAACTATATATAGATTTGTCATACGTAGTATCATCGATTTGCTGATAGGAGTCGAAATTATTTGATCACTCTTTACTTTTATCCTAAATACATTTGCTATCACAACACTTCATACGGTAAACATTTATTTTTTGTTTATTAGTAAAACGAAATGTGAACATATTTCTTTAGTCATTTTCTAACTTTCTATGAAATAAGATGTAATCGTCTTTGTATTGCTTTTTTATATCTTTCATAAGCTTTCCAAAATTCTTGTTTGTATGATTTCGATGGAAGAACAAACAATACGAAAGTAAGCATAACATAGATGGCATGAATGAGATAAAATATTCAATCAAAAATAACCATGAATCATTAATTGACTTTATGCAACGCGACATAAGAGATATGATCGAACGTGGAATAGCTAAAATGAACAAAAGAACTAGAGTAATCAGTCGTTGACTGTGTTCTTGAAATTGCTTATATAAGATTCTTCGATAGCTTTTATCAATTCGAACAGCTGTTCGCTGTCGAGCAGTAATTACAATAATTACCAGACCCGACATCAAATTAATAATAAATGGGGTTAAAAAATGAAATATATGTAGCATTGTATTAAACGTTTGAAGATTAGATGAATAAGTAACAATAGACTAGATTCTTTTCTGGTCATCATCATTATCATCATCTATCAAACGCCGATGAATGGGATCATGAATAGTAGTACTAATATTTAAAATTAGAAGAATAAGAATAATATACTTAGTCAGTTGTTTACTCTTTTTCTTATTAAAACTGGTTCCCTTTATCGTGATAATTGTTCGCTCTATAGCTATGCATGCAGACAATCATTGATCCATATTAAGACCGATTCGTAGCAAAAAATCTATTGAAGTACATTGTAATTGTAGAAATAAATGATTCATTTTATATGCCGTTTGTTCGATGATAAGTATAAAACATTATAATGCAAACATAACCATTGTAAATAGAGTAGTAATTGATATACTTATTAGATAAATACTACAAACAATTTTGCATGATTCATTAGTTTTAATGGTAATCATCGATAGAACACTATTGATCAAACCTATTGCAGTCATAATGATCGTCAATACGATACCTAATTGTACAACAAGAGGTTGGTTCGTGATGATAATATGTGGTTGAATGTGATAACCTAAAATTCCATCAAGTGAAAGACCAACTCTATTTGAACTAAATTGACAACGTATTCCGTAAAAACATGTTTGACAAACACAGGTCGATATTTGTTGACATATAGGTCTATGTTACATAAACAAAAATGACTATTATCATAGAAACAAGATAATGGCGATGAGTTTCTTTGACATGATAAATGATAATATTTCATACGACGAAGAAGATGAAATTGAGCAATAGTCTCATTCAATACTTCGTATAAATGTGGACAATGATCTCATGGCTGAATTTCTCGAAAAATGGTTGTTGATTGCCGGTATATCTTTTGAACAGAAATTAAATAGTAATTTTTATTGGGAAGTTGCATAAAAGCAATGAGAAATCGATATGACCATTTAATTATCATTGTTTTTTGATTTAAAGGAATCATTTTGAAAGTACTACCATTTTTTAAGTGGAGCACCGTCAATCACTTGAATGAAATGAAGAAGTAACGCGTCTGGTAAAATGATATCTTGATGAAATGATACAATGATATTATTATCAGCTATTTCACATCTGTCACCAGTGAAAATTTTTTGATAGATACATTTAAATTTCTTGTTAGATACTATATGCTCATCAGTAGATATACATTGATCACTATTGTAACATGTGATATTTTGATTATAGTAACATATTGTACTGCGCAACAAACATCGAGAACCCCATCTATTCATAGGACAAACACACAAAAATCGATTGTTCACTAAGATATCAATACATAATGAGTCAGACAAACATGTGCAGTTATGAGAGATAGTACAAAATTGTCCAGACTATTCTTGATAACAACGACAAAAACTAATGTCTTTCGGATTGTCTGAATATTTAATGCATTGGCCATGAACACATCGTTGATTTGAGCAACTTTCCACATCATTAGTTGTGCGTGAAATGTTGAGTTGAATAGCGACATGGTGCATAGATAAAAAAAAGGAAATTTAATTGGTTTTAAAAAGCATCCTCAAATATGCGAGTGATACGTTTTCATAGATATCAATATGTATTGAATAATGTTTTTTTGATATCTTTTGGCCCAGTTGAATATAGTAAATACATAGTGAATTTAAGTTTACAATCTTGTACGTACAAATAACTGAATTATTGATGTGAAGGAATGATTCTTTCATCACTATTATCAATAAGTGAGACAACAACAGTAAATAGAGTTCGTCGAGAATCGGAATATGCTTGAAATTGCAACGTGAAACTAATACATTGATTTTGATATTGACACATATCTCCATAGAAACTAGATGGACAAAGACATGTTTTAGTCGTTAATGTCTTCTCATAATTTAGCCAAACTCTAACAACAAGATCATGATGATAATGTTGTTGATGTTGAAGAGCGATTTGTCGAGTAATAGATGAATGTAAATTTATTATTTTTGCGCTTTGTTTCGTTATTTGCTCTATTGAATTGTTAATTCTATCTAATGAAAAATATGCGATGGGTGATTTACTAAAATCGATTGGACGTTTACAAAAAAAATTTGCAATCTCAGAACGAACAGTTGCATATTCGTCATTACATATAGTAAAGTAGTCAATATTGTTCAGCGTATTGTCACAAATTTTATCATAATCTTTGTCATTGCATTCTCTATAGAAACATAAAGATATATAAGACGTACAATATTCATGTTCCTCATCGGTGCAGTGAATGTTAACATTGCTGAGCTCATGATTATCTGATCGACATAGTTATGGCTCATCAGTAGCGCCAAGGCAATTAAGATTGCCATCATCGACTTGTGTGAGAGACAAACACATGCATTGGTATGTGTTAGGTGAGACACAAATAGGATGATGAAGCGAACATTTCAATACTGGTCATCGGTCACAATCTACTTCATCTGCTCCATTGCAACAATTCCAAAATCCATCACATCGAGTATAAGTATTATTACATTGCCAATATTCAGACTTGGTTTCATCGGTTTCATTTCGTCCATCGATAGTAACAGGTATTAATTCTGTAAAACCATCACAAATTGTTGGAAATGAGATGTGTGTTTTAAAATAGTTAACATTTAGGTTTTCATCATCACAAAAACCATATTCATTATATCCACAATCGCACCAACCATTTTCAACCAATGCCGGAGGAATACAAAGATCTCTTGTAGAACATTTGAAATGCTGTTTTTGATCCATACATCGAACACGAGCCATGAATCGAAGAACATTTTTTGTCATCTTTATAATCGCAATCGCTCATACCGTCGCAAAGGGAACGCTAGGAAATACATTTTGAGGAATTGAGGCATTTGTACATGATTGAACTGTTACAATTCGTAGAACCATTGTGGAAAACTGTGTTGCATCGGTAAAGCTGCTGATACCAAGGTAAGATATATCTAGCGTTTCAGTTGCTTCTGCAGGGTCCGAACAATTTAAAAATTAATGAAAAATCGGTAGGACGGCGACATGTATCATTATCGAATGATAATAATGTTCGGTTTGGATAGAATCCGCCACAAAGTTGATCATTGTAGCAAACATACTGATGTGATGGTACTGTCTTATAAGAACTTAGCATTCCTTCTTTTGTATATAAAAAGTACATATGTCCAAAAGTAACGAGATTAGCTGGCATGTACAACATATTGGGACACGTCTTGTTAATTATTTCTGTCCAGGTTTTATTGAAAAATAGATCATGGCATCTTAGAGCCGATGATATATGTTGAATAGGCAACTGACACTTAACGGCTAACCAAAAATCATTCGATACTGTGCTTGACTTCTCAGAGAATATGAATTGTTGTAGTCAATGGATGCGTTTGAACACATATGAATTTGTTAGCTTCACATGAAGGTCTGTATCACGTATGAAACATGTAACATCTTCCTTTGCAAACGTAGGTTCACCGCTAATATTTAGATAGAATGGTTGCTTAAGCAACTTTTCGTCTGATCGATCAAAACATTCAAAACCATTAGAGTCGTCATGAAAAAATGTCTTAGATATGCATTGTCCATTTCGACATCGATCTTCAAAATCTTCACGTTATTATTTATTTCAATCTGCCAATAAGATTCTTCATCGACTCCATTTCGACAATCAATGATTCCATCACATATTTCACTCCAATCGAGACATGCATATATTGAACCGTGGTCGCACTGTAAATGAGTGTAACATGTTAATGTTGTTGGTTCATATTCATGTAGATAAAATTCGTAAACAATCTCGTTTAACGTTGAATGATGAGACTTGTAAGCATCCAATGAATATTGACACAATGGGCCAAATTTGGGTGACGTACAATTATAGAACATGTGTGTGTTGCCATTGATGAAGATAATGTGTTGGACGTTAAGAGTAGATTTAAATAAAATTGATAACGTTCAACGACATTCATTGGTGCCGACCAAAGATATAATTGTTCACTAGTAATATTTAACTTGTAGAATTCAGCAAAAGTAAAGTTTTGATCTTGATTATTTTTTTGAATATTCCATTTTGATGGCCATTCACTCATTCAATAAGAAATAATTTGATAAGGATCATTTTCTTCTTCAATCCAAGCAGCAATATGAAGACAATCATGTTGTAGAACACTATAACTTTCAACGCCATTTATCCAATCAGTGAGATCAAGATTCATTTGAGGAAATGCAATTATTTTATGTAATAAAATGAAATAGAATAGATAGCTGCTGAACAACATCATTTGAACCTTCAGAATCTCAACATAAATGCAGTATTATGAGGTTATTTTTTTCTCTTCATCTTTCGATTTTTTCTAACAAAGTTTATAGCAAATGTGAAATATTGTAGCTTATTCCTGTATTTGGTATCAAAGATTGCAACGTTGTTTTTTCTGCCAAATGATTATACTAAAGCATGACTCACATCTGCCAGCATTTTGTCTGAAACTACATTAGAGATATAGGTACAACTCATGAATTTAACGACGCATTTATATTTTTACCTTTGTACTATAGTTACAGATACTTGAGTACATATTTTCAATGAATTATCAATGCTGCCATAGTCGACTCTTCCCTGCAGGGTTTCTGATGAGTCGCTTGAAAAATACGAAATTCCAAGAAAGAACATTTTAAATAAACACTAAATAACATCTTCTCATAAATGAGAGATATAGTATAATAATTGATCACAAGAATGTTCGACTGTTACACAGACAAAATAATTATTTTCATTTAGATTCATCTCGACAATTAAAATGGCAGGTGTTATATTTACAAATAAAATCTTATCTAGTTTATTCAGATTAATCTGATGAACCATTAAAAAAGAGTAAATCTTTACTGAAGAAAATCAAATTAGTTTTTCTATTTAAATTGATTTCAATGATAAATTCACAGTGAGTATTGGCTGAAAAAAATTAATTGTCTCTTTTATTTAGGTAAATGTTGAAAAGAAATCATAATCGTATGTTTTATTTGAAATAGAAGAGCTACTTTTTTTTTATTTAAGTAAAAAGCAACAATAACTGCCACGGTAAGCGTTTTTTAAAAACTTTATTATAGGCTTCTTGTTTAAATTAATCTCCAGAATAACCACAAAGGTAAGCAGTATTTTAAAACAATCAAATTGGATTTTTATAATTAAGAAAGGGAAAGAAAAAGAGAAAGTCATCGTTTACAGTCGTCGTAATTCTTATTGTAGATTCCTAAGGAATTCCTACTGAGTTCCTGGGTAATCTCTGTCGAGATTCTTCGAGAAATTGCGAAGGCGGAGTTAACTAGTGTGATCACTAGTATCATTTGTTTGAATCAGAGATATACAAGACGCTTAAAAACATGGGGTACCCCTGCCAAATTGGCTTTGTAGCAAGCGGTGCGATCCCGGCATGACAACTGCAAGAATCTGTTTTGCCAGGTTTTCTTCTTAAATTATTTCCTCTATAATATTTCTCAATAAATCAAAGCCTACTTAATGACATTTATGTACGAATGACAACATCAATGTATCACTCGTTTCTGTGCATAGTTATTTTATACTTGACTTTTTGCAAATTTAAGTTTTGAATTATTTTGTATATTATATAAGTTCTAATGACATTTAATTAATCAGCATCAAAATGAGGTGGTAAAAATAGTGATATTTTAGACAAAACGGCTCAATTAATCATTTAATGTGTTTTCTTCACTTTTCAGCACTCTATATTCATTTCCTTTTAAAAAAATTCTGATGAAATTCTATGCGAAAAATTTACTTTCAACCTGGAATAAATAGAAGCAAAAGCATTGTATTTAAATACAACTCAATCTTGTTGATAACTATTGTTTAAATATTATGCACTAGATAAGTTTAGTTATCTGATCTTTTTTTCTCAAGATAGCATAGAGAATTCTGACATTTCTTGGAATTTTGTCTACAAAAGAGAGACGATTTGCATAAATCGATATCAAGGCAGAGGTGTACTACTAGCATACTTTTATTTCGTAACGTTTTCGGAGTGAGGAAAATTCTAATGATTTTTTTATCAAGTTCTTTTTCAGTTTCATAGCACTACTTTAGAAAATAGTCTAACAATTTTTCACCTTTCACCTCTATAATTTACCATTTTTGTATATAATAGGCACACTCTATACATAAATCAGATTTTTTGTGTTTTCTCTGTTTAAGCTTTTTCGATCACCATTCGGTATGTATGTTTTTTTTTAATCTAGCTTTGTTTTTATTGCAATGAAAAAATATACATGGATCCATTTTTTACAAAGTTATTTTCTCATAAAAAGTTAGAATTTAATGCCAAATGAGGTAACGTTTTGATATAGAACTAAAAATTTTACTTGAATCTCTCCACTACACTAAGAGAATATTATTTCGATATGAATGAAGATATTTGGAAAATGAATGATAAATAAAAAGTTGTAATAGATGATAATTTCAAACTGTAGATCAACGATATGAAATTTTATAAATTCATTTTTCTTATATTTATTAATTAAAGATGGCGTAAGTCTATAAGTAAAACGCTTGTTTAATAATAATCGAAAAGGTCTTAGTCTCGTTTTCTATTCGTTCTTGAATTTAACTTATTAATCATTTATTTATTTTGATGTGGATGATTGTTTGACCAATTTTACGAGTTCTCTTAAATACATTCACGTATTTTATTATATTATTAATTTTATTTTTTCGAATAAAATAATGGCAATGTCATTAGGAAATGATGCATCAATTTGGTCATGGAGTGATGCTAATGGTCGATTACATCAAAATATTGTTGATAATTATACACTGTAATCTATCAAAAAAAATAGAACATTTTTTTAATATTCATTGTTTATTTTCTAGTCATTTATTATCTGATTATTTGATTATTCAACCTATGATACGTGATGCAAAAGAATGTCTTGTTATTGATCGTACTAATGAAGAAATTCAAATTCAAAGTAAACGATTTTTTTTTCTTTTTTTTTATTTCTTATTTTAATTTTTATTTCATCAAGATATTTTACCAAATGTTGATGGAGCTATAAGACGATCCATTCATGGTATTATTGGAATAATTAATTTAATATCTGGTCCATATTTAATTGTTATAACATCTAAACAACGTATAGGTGATATTAATGGACATGCAATTTATAAAGTTCAAACAACTGATATAATACCGTTTGCACGTAATATGTCTCATTTAAATGAATATCAAGTATGATTAATTGGTTTTCTTTTTTTTGTTTTGAAGAAAACAAAAAGCATATTTTTATTTTTATTAGATAAAATATAATACAAAATATTTATCAATGATTGAACTTGTTTTACGTACAGAAGCATTTTATTTTTCTTATTCATATGATATAACACATACATTTCAACGTCTTCAATCATCATCAGCTGATTTTTATTCAATGCCATTTATTGAACGTGCTGATCAACGTTTTGTTTGGAATCGTTATTTACTTAGTTCATTAATAAAAAATAGAACTACAGCTCGATTTGCTTTACCACTTATTCATGGATGTAAGTTTAGATAAATAAATTTATTTATTTAATTTAAAAAAAGACAAAAATAGTTGTTGCACTTCATACACTTAATATTAATGGACGTTCATTAACTTATGGTGTTATTTCAAGACGAAGTACTCAACGTGCTGGTACAAGGTATGAATTTAATTGTTAATTAAAGACAAGAGAATGTTTTTACTATTGTTTCTATTAAGATTATTTATTCGTGGTATTGATGATGATGGTCGTGTGGCTAATTATGTTGAAACAGAACAAATTCTTCAATTAGATGATGTTGCTTGTTCTTATGTTCAAGTAAATAAATATTTACAGACAATTTTCTAATGTGATAATTTATTTTACAATTAAATATAAGTTTTGTTTAGAAAGATAAATACAGTTGAGTAGAGAATGAATTTATTTATATTCGAGAATTCATAGATTAAGAATATAGACTCATTTGATACTATAATGATTGGATAGATATATAAATATACGTTATGTGAAATATTAGACATATAAATAGGATGACTTGATATTTAAAAAAAAATGATTTGTTTTACGAAATAAATGTGTTTCGTAAGATAAAATTAAAATTTTTATGTTTATAAAGAAAAAAAAAAAAAAAAACTTGATTTTAAATAAAACTTATATATTGATTTATAAAGAATCAATATAATTACTTCTATTAGCGTTATTTATAGTGGATAAAAAATGAATATTATTTTTATTCAAATAATCTGATATTAATTTATTATATGACACCTTCATATATAGATAGTATTGAACAATCGATCAAAGCATTCAATAGTTTTTGTCACATATAAAAATATTCAAAGTCAAACAAGTACATTCGTAACCGATTGCCAAAGGTCGTTAATTGATATATTAAAAGATTCAGTAGTATAATCGTATTTCTTCGTACGTAGCAACGAAAAATACGATTGCTTATGAACTTCGCATAAGATTTAGGTTTTATTCGATGTCTCGCTGTAGACGATCGTATTTTCATGTATCCAATATGAAGTTTATATTTTTCGTCCTGGAATACTCCTCCTTCATTAATTTGAATCCCAATGCATAATTTCTCTTGGTTTTTTTGTTAGTTTACACAGTCGTTTGTACACTTGTTGCCATAGCTACCAGATAATCATTTGTCACATAGTTACCAGTTGATCACTAAAGTACAAATAGATCAATTTCGATTGCTACACTTTATCCTCACAGTTTAGGACATATGTTAACAGTTTCATAAATGAATAAAAAAATGATTTTGTACTGATTGATTACTTTTATTTAATTAAATTACGAGAATCATGAAATCAATAATGTTTGTCTGTCAAAATGGTAGAACATGTAGTTTTTAGTTTGAATAAATTCTATTATCTTATGAGTATATTAAAGATAATCACAAGTAATTTTAAAATGACTGAAATCTTTATTAAAATTGAAAATTTTTTAATCTCTTTTGATTGCAGACAAAAAAAAAGAACTAAAATGAAATTTAACATAAAAATAATTCAAAATCAATTTTTCTTTTTTTGTTTTATCTAGATACGTGGATCAGTGCCGTGTTATTGGACACAATTACCTGATCTTCATTACAAACCAAAAGTAACAGTCTTACCATCTAATAATCATGTAAGAACAAAATTTTTTTAGTTTTTTTTTTTCAATTAAAATGATTGATAAAAATTAAAATATTATTTTATTTAAGTTGATTGCTTTTCAACAACATTTTGAAGAACAAGAATATTATTATGGCAAACAATTTCTTATTAGTCTTGTATGTAAACTTCTTCAAAGAAGTTATCATATAAATATTTCTTAATTATTCAGACCAATCATCATGGTGCTGAAGGAAAATTAAATGCAAAATATCGTGAATTATATGAAGCAAGTCAAAATAAATTCATTAAGTAAGAAAAAAAAAAAACTATTCTTTTTTTTTTTAATTTCTAAATATTTTTTTTTTGTTTTATTCAATCAGATTTGAAGATTTTGATTTTCATAAAGAATGTGCTGGTATGCGTTATGATCGTTTAACAATACTTTTAGCTCGTATTATAGCTGATCAAGATGATTATAGGTACTGTATAGATAAACATTTTTCTTTTTAAATACAATAATAATACATATAAATTGCTCTAGTACAGTTATTTTGCCGTAACTAAAAATGGTATTTTACATTGTCAACAAACTGGTGTATTTCGTACAAATTGTATTGATTGTCTTGATCGAACAAATGTTGTTCAAAGTTTATTTGCTAAAAGAATTTTAGAAGAACAATTACAACGTTATAATGTTACTCAATATCGTGAAACAATTGATTCACATAAACAATTAAGTAATATATTTAAAAATGGTAAGTTAAAATATATTTTCTATAGATTTTTAAAATGAATTTATTTGATTTTTCATTTAGTTTGGGCTGATAATGCTGATGTTATAAGTCTTCAATATGCTGGAACTGGCGCATTAAAAACAGATTATACAAGGTTTGTTCAATAGTCTCGAAGATCTATTTGTTTTTTTTTGTATCAATTTCGTTATGTATCTTATCATCAAACGAAAGAAACTAGACTCAAGATAAATACCCTAAGTGAGATTGAGAACGAAAATAATACTCAGGACAAGCGATCAGTTGAAGGTTAGAGCTAATTCTTTAGAACTATGTCTCATGTTGAAACAGTTTACATTTATTATATACTATCAATAGACAAATCGAATTAAATCCGATAGTTAAATCCTGACACAACTATCTGATATCAGCGTGGATCTCAACCAATTTCATTATACTGTTATAAGTATACAATTATAGATAAAATCACTCATCTTCTATAATATACCAATGATATCTAACGGTTACACTCAACTATTATATATATGAATAGATCATCGAAAAGTGTATGTGAACGCTTGTTAATTATCTGAAGTTCGTCTGGACCTTAATAAGGTTCATTATAATATAATGCATTCATAACAAGTAATCAAACCATAATCTTTTATGTGTGTCTAATTTACAATTAGTACAGTATACTGTAGAGTACTACAACCCGACCCGATCCGAACCCGTACCCGACCCGTGGGGGTGCGGGCCAGTTCGGGTTTAACATTGGCGAGTCGGGTCTGGCGCGGGTTTGATTTCAAAAAATGTCGGGTTTTATCGGGTTCTGACTTTTTCTTAATATATGCTTCTGCTCTATATTTTGGTTAGTGTTGAACTCAAACAGTAGTGAAGCTCTATTCTATTGATCAATGGTCAAATAGTTGCTATATACATACGACCTTCTTTGGGCCTTCTCTACATCGTACGCGCTCTCAGCCGAAAAAAAAAACATTCAAATAAGCGATGCAATAGCAAATACCCTATGATTAGTTGTTGTATTTTTTGATGGGCTACACATAACTGAATCCTGGTGAATAGAAAAAATCGGTCTCTATTGAGCTGTTTTTTAGTTTTTTTTAAAAGACATATTGTTACAAAGCGTCACAAAGACGGGATTTTAGCGCCTTCTTTATGACATAATTTTGTTTATTGAGTTAAATCTCAAAATTTCCCCCTGTGCTAGACAAATGAACACTTACTTAGTCTCTTTATTCTACTGAGACTCGAAGATTCTCGATATTAATTTAAAAAAAAAGACGCAAAACATGTAGCGCCCGGCAACGCATATATTTGATGTTGATTCGATGATTCATCAAGCTGAGAAAAGGTACCAACATTATGCGATTTTATACGGAATTAAGGAATCTGATTGATATTGCTACTTTGAAATAACAGTCACATTCCTTAATTTGGTATTAAATCGCATAGTGTAGACAGGATCTTTGTCAGTAATCAGTATCTTTTTGTCAGATCCAATACTTTTGTTTTGCTTATTTTTCAAAGTGGATCCAAAACAAAAATGTCGAAAATTGCTTCAAATTGGATAATATACAAAATGTGATAAACCACTATCAAATAAACGAATCTAATTTCTCGGGTCGGGTCGGGTTCGGGTTTAACTCTCCTCGGGTTGGGTCGGGTCGGGCTCGGGTTGAACCCTTGCGGATCGGGTCGGCCACGGGTATGGCTAGAGGACTTCGGGTCGGATGCGGGTATCAAAAGTCAAACCTGTGCAGTACTCTAGTATACTGATAATATCAGTCAATCATGCGTGGTTGTTTTTTTATGATAGTCTTCATATGTTTATAATAAACTAGTAACAACTTGTTGTAGTATATTTATTTTATCGATTGGGACAATACGCACAGATCTCAAGTGAATTACATATAGAAGTCTTAGAGATGATCATGTTAAGATTAAATAAATCCCGTTAGTTGTTCAATTTGTTAACAAAAACAAAAATCTATGTAACACTTTGTCTTTAATTATTTAGAACGGGTCAACGATCAGCAATGGGTTTATTTAAAGATGGTTATAATTCATGTATGCGTTACGTATTAAATAATTTTTTTGATGGTTTTCGACAAGTAAGAAAAATTTTATTTTTATGAAAAATTTTCTTAAAATTATCTTGTTTTTTTCTTTTTTTTTTGTTAAAAGGATGGTATTGATCTGTTTTTGGGTAATTATCGTGTATCATCTGATGAAGGTCGTACACCTGAATCATGTCCAATTAGTAAAGAATTAAGTAAAAAATTTTTGGCATTACCAGTAACAATGTTTCTTGCTTTTTCAATGTGTATTATTAATTTATTAATACCAGCTTCATCATTTCGTGAACAAATGACTTATGTTTTATTTTGGGGTGCCGCAACAATATCAACATTAGCAATAACAATTTTTTGGGGACAAGAATTAGTTGATGCACCAAAACTTTATTCCAAAGCTAAACGAGATTAATCAAGCATTTAAATATTTTGACAAATAAAAAATAATAAACGTTATTATTATTATTATTATTATCTTGCGCTATATCTGTGTACGTCAATATCCGTTACTTTTTTAATATAAGTTATAATTGATATATGCAGTATATTCTATAAAAATAGAATCTTTTCTTCTGTTTTGTTTTGTTTTTTTGATAAAAAGTATTCAATGCATGATTTTTTTTAATATTTAGAGGATAATAATAATAATAGTTTCAAAGATATGACCATATGTTGTTGTAATTTGATTAATAATTTGAAGTGCATTGATTTTTATTCCTTAGGTTTTAAAAAATTTTATGTTTTTCGAATAAATCAAAATTGTTCATGTAGATATATAAAATTGATGTTTAGATTCAATCAAATCATGATAAGAAATTTGATGCTGAAAGAAAATTTTAATTTACTTTAAAAATTAAAGGATTGTTTGAACGATAAATTATTGTCGTTAAATTTCTAGTATGATGAACAATGAATTAATTTGAGTTTCTTTAGTTTTTTTGGTATATTTTTATTTTAGATGTCAATTCTATCTTATTTAGCTCGTCATTTGCATCTAACATCAAATTATGATCCATCTTTAATTGTTCGTGATGTTGCTTATTTTTCTGGTACAGATGCTCATGTTAATCATAAATTAGATATATTTCTTCCTGCTCCATCTAAAACTTTATTATCACCATCTGATGAAGAAGAACCACAAAAGAAAATACCAATTATTGTACATATACATGGTGGTGGTTGGGTTCGTGGTAGTCGTAAAAATGAATGGCGTGGTGGTCCCGTTGTTGGTCGAACATGTGCAAAAGAAGGTTTTGTTGGTGTTATTGCATCCTATCGTTTAGCACGTATGTCTCCTATTTCATTTGCGACTTGGGCATTCATTTTTGGCTTAATCATATTGATTACGTCATTGATTCTACTTTCATGGCAACTTATCACAGGTTATATTATTTTTATGTCTGCTGCTTATGCTTATAATTTTTTATATCAAGTACGAATACCGGTTAATCTGGATCATGTAAGTTTTAAAAATATCTTTTTAAATATAGGAAATAATTTTTTTTGTTTTGATTTAGATGGCTGATGATTTATGTCGCGCATTAGTTTATATTCGAGATCATATTCATGAACATTGTCCACAAGCTGATCCTGATCAAATATTTCTATCTGGTCATTCTGCCGGTGCACATTTAGTAAGTTTACTTATACTTGATAAGACTCATTTTGAACGTCACGAATTTTCATCATCATCCATTCGTGGTGTTATAACAATGAGTGGAATTTATTCATTATCAAATCCAACTCATGATTCACAACATAATGTTCGTAACTTAATATTTCGTATACTTTATTCAAGTAATTTACTTTATCCAGAAGGAAAAACAATGTGTGAATATTCACCCATTGAATATATAAAAGAAGATATTGAATTACCACCATTTCTCGTTATGTCTGCTCGATTTGATATGGGTTTAGAAGTTGATGCAAGACGTTTTGTTCAAAAACTTCATCAATATAATCATCGAGCTGAATATCATATTATTGGTGGTATGACAACACATGGAACGATTGCAAGTAAATTTTCCAAAAACGATGCACATCGTCATTTTTTTACATTTATTCGTCAAAATATGAAATAATGCATAGAATAAAAGAATAATAATGATAAATTTATTTTTTTTGAATGGTTTTTATTCGATCAAGCTTTTTTGTTTTAGATTAAATTTGTATTATACAAAAAAAAAAGAACAACATGCCTTTAACAAATGCTTATCTTGATGCATACAATACAAACATTGATCGAATAAATACATGTATTATATCGGCTGTTTATTCGCCAGATAATACGCGTTTAATTGCAGGTGATGATCAAGGTCGTTTAGGATTATTTTATTCATCACCTCAAATATCAATGAAACCAATATTTTTAACGACTTTACCTAATACATATCATTCACAAATAAATTCTCGAACTAATAGTAATAATTGTAATAATAATAGTATTTCACTTGCATCATCTATTAGTGAAATTTTAATTGTTGTTGGTGGAAGTATTCATAATGGACTTGTACAAGGTTATCGTTGGTCGGATATAATGTCAAATAAAAAAACACAACAATTACCATCAGATGCATTTTCATTTGATCTTGCACGAGGACCAAATGAAATCTTTGTTTGTGTTCAAGCACCATCAAAAAAACAATTTCAAAAAACCGATGAAATTATTGTTGGTTCAAGTGTTGGAACATTAAGAGTATTAAATATTGAACGACAAACATTAGTAACAACAATTGATGCAGCTCATAAAGGAGTGATACATCAAGTAGCATTTGCTAACGATGGAAAACGTGTTGCATCTTGTTCAGAAGATGGTATGTTTATTAGAGATTTTCTTCTTGTTCTATAAATTAAAGAACATCATATCGTTTTTTACATACGTTTAGAACAAACATTGTTGGATAGTTCTCTCGGTAGAACTCGAGGTTAAACAGTTCTCAGTTCATAGTATTGACAAGAGTATCTTTTCAAATGTCAGATAGCTTTTCGGGCGACATGATGTTCATTTTATGAATATTAATAAATAATAGAAAAGTCCAGGATGGTTTTGTTTTCGGGGGATTCATTCTCGAGGCATTGAAGTTTTACTGCATTTTTTAATAAACAGCTGTGATCCTGCTCAGATCAGGTCGAAAATCGACTTTTGAGTTTTGACTTCAAATGTGAATAATTTTGTAGTTTTCTTGGTGTTTCCTACCCTGCGATATTGCATATTCAAAATTTTCTTGCATATCAAAGCAATTTTTGCTCATATATTTACATCTTTAGAAAGGAAGTACTGGTGTACCATCAACTAATATTATGAAGAACTCTGTTCGTGCAGAGTTCGAAGTCAAAACTCGGAATTCAATGTTTCACGTGACCTAAGAGAGACTACAACTTTTTTATTGAAAAATTTACTAAAATTTTGATATCTCGACACCGCAGGCTCAAAAATCAAACCATTCTGGACTTTTCTGTTACACACTAATGTTCATCAAATAAACATCATTTCAGTCGAAAAATATTTTAACATCTGAAGAGATTTCTTCGAGAACTAGCCGACAAACTTTGTGATGTTTTGAGAACAGAATTTTAGTAATAGAACAAAAGTTTTTGTTTATAATATCGGAACGTGTTTTTCTTAAAGTCATCGGAAATACTTCGGACAGATCAGTTTTTGAGATCCAAACTAGTACTGAATTTTGACCTGTAATTAGAACTAATCTATCAGATATTCATCAACTTCAATTGATTAATTTTTATTATTAAAATAGAATAACTTCTTGAATTAGTTTCTTTATCAAGAATAATATTTCGAAAATTTTTTTTATATTTAGGAACATGTAAAATTTGGGATTTATCATCATCATCACATCAACCAATTCATACAATTGAAACAAATAAATGGATAAGTTGTTGTGCATTTGATATGGCTACAGATCGTCTTGTCATTGGAGGTGATTGTCCATTATCACTTTGGCATTTAGCTATGTTAAGTTCATCAACAAAACAAAAACCATTACTTGTTTATAATTCTATTCCAACACCAATTTATTCATTAGCATTATGTTCTGTTGATGATGATACAATACTTGTTGGTGGTGATACAAATAAATTATATTCAATACCAAAAAATGGTGATGAACAAACAATGACAATAAGTCGTCCAACAACACCATCACCGATTTATACAATTGCTACAACAATAAATAAAAATACAACAAAAGAAAATGAAGATATTAAAGTTGCTGTTGCTGGTAGTCATTGGAATATTGATTCATTTACAATAACAGAAACAAATATTCGAAAAATTGGACATTATGAATTTTCTAAATAAATATCTACAGATATACTTAGATAAATCAAATATTTTGATTTTTCTTTTTGTTATTGCAAATATAAACAAAATATTTTGTTGTAAATTTAAAAAAAAAATCATACAATAGAAAAAATACAAAATAATCATTTACACATAAGTTTTTTATTTTTAGTGTTGCACTTAATGTTTTACATAAGTGTTTGACTTATACACATACTATTGATTTGACAAATTGACAAATTATAGATTTATTTTTGTGTTGACATATATTTAGAATAAAGCTAGGTCATAACAGATGAGCTTTGTAAAGAATTGAGAAAGATCTTTATATGAATATTAAAGAATATTTTTCTTATTATTTCTTTTGAGTTTTCTACACCATCTAACTATAATAGAAACTAAAACATTATAACGCTGATTACAAGTAATTTAGAACAAAAATCAATTAATGCTACGCACAAACATAAAGCATGTAAAAGAAATGAATACAAATAACATGAGTCATGAGCAGCAATATTCTAAATTGAACTACTTTTGAACATGAATAGAATATATAAATCACTAGCAATCAAGTAGAGTAAAACATGTAGAACATCACAGGATTATAGAAATATGATTCTACGAGAGATCAGATGCGAACCTAATGCTAATACTAGAGGTCAAATACCTTAGTCAATGTGTCATTTTTACTCAACATACTTTTTATTAACATCGTGCCATATAGACATAAATCTTCGTTTTGTATAAAAATGTCAAGTCTAATGACTGTAATCATTCAACAATATTTCACATTTTTTTTTATGCCAATATTATTTCGTAAATCGTCAATAAGAACATTTAATTGTGCTTGATGAAATGTTTCTTTTTCATTAACTTCAATAAGAATGGTTAAATCATTGAGAAAAAAACAAACGAACACTTTGATTTATTTAACATATTTATATTTCACTTTATTTTCATGTTCTATAGGCCACCAGAAAAATAACCTTTATTAAATATAGCATAAAGTAAAGGATTTAAACATGAATTAAAATATGATAATCCATGAGCAATAACTCGAGCAGCTGTTAATATATGTACATGTTTTACATAAAATGCATGTGATAGAAGTTGTGAACAATTTAATAATTCAAGTATATGAATTGGCAGCCAACAAAGTGCAAATGCTAGAGTTAACACCAATAATGTACGTTGTATTCGACGTCTTTTGATTTCTAATGATAAACGAGGTTTACCATACTATAATTAAAATAATGAAATAAAACACAATTTTTTGACTTTCAAATGTGCTGATTAATGATATTAAAATATAAATCAATTTTATATAATAGAATCTAATTTAATAAATTTATTTTTATGAGAGTCATCAATAAATTTCAATTTTAACAATGAAAAAATTACTCATTTTAGAATATTTCTATAAGAAAAAGTATTTTTACTTACAAGTAGTTTGGCCACTTTATGACCTCCACGTCTGACATGTAATAAAACACGAGAATAACATACACCAATAATTGACAAAGGTAATAAATAGTAAAATACAAATGTAAATAAACATGATGAAAATAAAGAATCATTATCACTAACAGTACAATCAAGCATAACCGATGAGTGATTATGTTTTTCAACATCAATATGTAATACATAATCATAAGGAAACATAAAAACACCGGAAACTAGAAAAATTAAACAACAATTAAAAACTCAAATCAATTTATACTATATATATATATATATATTTTGTTTCTATACATTAACAGTCAAGCAAATATTTTTCTTTAAAATATACGATAGAAATCTTATATTTTATATTTTATATTAACATTATTATTATTATTATCTTACTTGCCCAAATAAGTAAACATATAATTAGAGCACATTTTGGTTTTCGATATCGTCGATACCATTGGCCATGAACTATATTCAAATATCGATCTATACTCATAGCAGCTAGTGTATAACAAGTTGCTTGTAATAGAACCTAAAATTTTTATTCTCATCAGAAAATAATTGTTAATAAAAGAAATATTTACATACATGTGCTAGATAAATATGCATTTTACATATAAATTCACCAAAAATCCAAATTTTTTTAATTGCTAAATAACCAGTTAATGGTACAGAAATAAGCAAAAAAAGAAAATCAGTTATTGCTAAATTCATAATATAGCAATTAGTAACATTATTTTGATAGTTTCGTTTAACTATACCAACAACAAGTACAATAGCATTACCTATTATAATTTATTTTTAAATACAATATTTTTTAAAATTTATTAATTCTTACCACAAATACCACAGATTAGAACAACAACTAGTATTGATATCATTGCAAGATTTATGATATCATCATAATTGTTCGTATTATTCATTGACAACGACATGATCAAACTAATATTTAATTTTAATCTAAAATGAAAGATAATATAAAGTAGAATTATGTTATTATCTCAAAAGACAAATAAGAAATGTCGTGCTTAAGTCTTATCAAATACTACTGAGACAGAAAAGTGTTACTAGAACACATATATCCTACAATTATATAGAGATTAATATTTATGAAATGTTGGCAACCTACTCATTTCCTTTGTATATCTCATTGGCTAAATTAATTTTTCTTTGAAAAGATAAATGACTGTCGGGTAAAAATAATAACATTATATAGAAATATCTAAATTAGAAATATGAATATTGTATACTTTATTTAAATTTAGGAACTATGAAAAATTTCTTTCGAAAAGAACTGATCTCTGGAAAGAAATCATTTGATTAATATGTCCGAACACTATTCGTTCTTGATGACAAAAGAATAAATAGGGTTAAAGTTCAGTTTCGATGAAAAGAACTTTTCAGCAATTGTTCAGTTCATATTAAATCTGAAGTTTTTTCGTAAATCTAGTCTACATCAGAGAAACTGAATTGTTTTTCAAAACAAGATAGTTAGATTTTTTTATCGATACTTTTATTTTATTATTGTCATCATCGAGTTGTACTGTTATCTAGAAAGAACAAGTAATCAATGTTTGGAACTTATTCATAAATATTATTTTTATTTAATTAAAATATCGAAAAAAATGCTAGTCGTTTGGGAATTTTATTCTTCAGTATTTAAGCATTTTATTCTCATTTCTAATATATTTTCATACATACTTCTTTATTTGCATATGCTAATATCTGATCATTCAAATCTTGCTTTCTAGGAAATGATGATTTGACTTGTCAAAGTATCTAATACGAGAAATGTCGTTTTCAATGTATTCCATTAATGAAATAACAATGTTTTGATATTTTGTTAGAGGAGACACAAAAAAAAATACCTTATACAACCAATAGCATTGGATTAATCATCTTTTTTTCATTCTTTCGATATAGTGCTCTTTTCTTGTGATGTGTCATTTAGTTAATGTATATCATTTTAGTAGTAAGAAAATCATTTGGAAACTGTCACTATGTCCTGAAATTATTGTTATTGTGTTCAAAAATAACTTAGTTTAATAAGAAAAGTGACATTTACGCTGTTTATAAAGAAACAAAATTATGATTTGTCAATGATTATTATGATATTTAGTATTATTTATCTAATCATGATTTCAAACTATCTTTTATGATTGAAAAATAATTTGAACTATAATTATCGCATGTAATATATTGAAATTTTGTCAGTTTTATTAGAAGAAAATAGTGATCAAAGTAAATGAAATGTTCTTTTTTATTTTAAATCAAAAATTTTTGATTATTGAAATTAAAAATTAAAACAATATCAATACTTTCTGATTTTAGCATCGTAAACAACAATGATTAACCTACTTCGATAAAAACTTGTAAAATGCAGATATCACACTAAGGTCATTTTTTGTTCAATTCTCAATGGTGACAAAAATAATAATGTCATTTTTATTTAATCATCTGTGCTGTAGGAGTTTCCAGTGTGTTTTAGAAAAAAAAAAGAAAAAGCTCATGTTCACGATTCTAATTAATAGTAAAATTAATTAAAAACGCTGTTTTCTATTTTTTTTTTCTTCGTGAATTTGCATAAAAGATAACGTTACTTACTCATTGACAAGTCCAAAGTATATTTAATTATTTCCTATATGAGATTTCAAACTCTTTCTATTGATCTAATAATAAAATTATGCTAAAGTACTATAGAAGAATTTCTAACAAATGAATTATGTTTGAGAAAGATATTTGCATCATTAAAGCAAAATATGGCATTAAGACGAATTGCTATATTCTTTGTTTTTCATCTATTATTTTTCACTATTACTATGATGTATTTTTATTCTTTTCTCATAAATTAACAAATAAAATATAGTCGAATCAGATCTCTTTCATTTATATAAAAATCTGTTTGACGAGAAAATGTTTGTGTATAACTATTCTTGATTAAGGTTAATGTTATTTTATTAATGAATGATTATTCTAATATAAACTGTCAGTTTAATACAGAAAATGATTTATTTTGTATTTGTCTAGTTCTATCTAGAGATTAATATTTTCTCTATATAATTAAATAAAATAAAAATTTTCGGTAATTTTTCTTAAGCATATATATTTTGAAACATAAAAATTCTTTTATTTAATAAAGCAATAAATAATTATGAATATATTTATATACGCACGTCAAAGTTTCAAATAATTGTAGACTACAATTCAGAATGAATCATTCGAGCAAATATAAAATATTGTATTACAATATAAATTTTTATTAGAATCTAAAATAATTCTTTATAAATAAAGAAAATTACTTTAGATACATATGACTTCTTTCTAATAATGCAAGAAAATGATACGTTTTTATCAAATAATATTTGATGAAATAAAGATATGTCAAATAAAGAAGAGACTTCAATGCGAACAAAATAAGTAAGATGAAGAAGAAAAAAAAACAGGCACGGACTAAGATAATGAGAGAAAAACCATGTAGAGGAATTAGATTGAAAGGACACAATCATCATTCTTTTTCTATAATAGCCCATATGGTATCAATAAAAAAAAAAAATTAATAAGAAAGACAATTGTTGACGTTGTAAATTAAAAATAAGACAAATAAATTTGTTTTTTTCCAGTTGTCTTACACAAGCATTTTCTCGTAATGATAAGAAGAACAAAATAAAAACAAAGCATCCGATAAACTAGGCTAAAACTATTTTCTTGTCATATTGTATTATATATATAATCAATATCAAATAGACAAAAAGAAATTCATGATGTATGCAAATATTTTTGGGAATTAAGACGATTGGAGAGCAATTGAGAACTATTGTTCTATGTATATATATTATTGTTTAGAGGCAGAAAAACTAATCTAGAAAAAATGTCATGAGTTCTTAGTACTATGTAACATCGGTATTTATGCTTGCATATAAACATGAAAATAGTGGATTCCAGTGACAAGTAACTAATGAAGAAAGATGAAATACTATGGTAGAATTGTTTTATATTCTTTATAGATATAATGTGTGATCGAAATGTGATTAGACAGCTGTCTCAAAAGTGTTAAAAAATTTGAAAACAATATTTTAGAATCAAAATTTGTATAGTTTTCGAGTATAGATTCAATATTTCTTCAAAACTTCTAGTTTAGAAGTTATGATTAGAAATTTTATGAGTACAAAAAAATCAAGTTTCGACAGAGAAAAATTCATTAATAATTTCCTTTACAACGTAAGTTATATTACTGATCTTTTAGAATGAATATATGATGGAATCGTTTTTTATAAATTGACATAAAAATCAAGAGTTTTAGAAATAACCGAGCTCATATTGCAAGTCTATTTTCATCGTAATTAAGAAAATTGCCTAACTTCAAACATTATTTCTTACCCAAAATACTCACTGATGACAAATAACTTGAAGTTAACTAAATATTAATATATTCTTTTATAGAACAATGTTAATCCTTTCATTCATTGTATTTGAAATAATTTTTTCTTTTACTTTAGGTAATTTTTTATGAGAATTGGAACGATTATCACTGGAGCTTTTAATCATGGAAACAATTAGTATCAGAATAGTTTAACACGCACGAAAAAAAAATTTTTACTGTTTAACCTGTTTTTACATCAATATGAAGAAACATACCTTTTTTGTCTATTGAACCACGTGACACAACATTACTCCGTCGATAGAAAATTGAAGTAAGGAAAGAATATTAGAGAATGTCAAAATACAGATTTTAAAAACGTTGTTATATTAGGTACTAGCCTCAATCAAACAATCTAAACTGCATGAGTTTCAGTTGTTTTTCAATTTACTTTCAACATCTAATTAAATCAAAACGATCTATTGGTTCATTCTCCGTTTAACTGTCAAAGGCACACGTTTTGGTATACATGTAACGCGAGACTTTACTGATATGGTTCACAATCAAGAAAATAAATTAGAAATATTAAAATTCTGCCATGGATTATTGATACATGTTGACAGAAGACTAACATATATACCTACGCAATCAAACATATCTATACATATACATCCACGACCACGTACTTTTATTGATCTTTTGATAGAGATTATATTTGTATTCATATTTTTGTGTGCGTGCCTAACGCTTCGGTCCTGAGAATACTCGTTTTGAACTTTTCTCGGGTTGATTATTCTCATACTTATTGTTTCTGTACTTGAGTAGTCGTGCTCATTTTTCACCAATCTTTTTTCTATGCGTTGAGGTTGGTTCAAAATTAATTTACGATCTGATGAAATGTCAGCTCATTATTTCTAAACCAGAATTCATACAAATATTTTGCACACATACTCGAAAAGACAGAAAGTTCTGATTTTAACACAATTAAAAAACAAAAAATGTTGTACACTCTTTTAAGAGGCTTCTAAGAAAAACGCGTTTTTATTTTGTTGTAAAAAGAAATAAAATTGATAAAAATGTTCATCTACAATTGTAATCACTCTATTGAAATACTTCAAAGCAAAAATCAATGGACGAAGAAAAAGAAAACAGTATTTCAGAAGTTCAGTCATATAAACTTTATAAAAATGATGAAATGTTTTATTGAAATTAGACTTAAAAGTCATATTCAATTACATAAATGAACATAAAACAAATTATTTTTATCTTCTTTGTTTCAAAAAAAATATATTTACAACACTAATATACTGATTATTTTTGATCAACTAAATTTTAATGATCTAACAAAAAAAAATCAAATCCTAATAATTTTAACTTACTCCATCTATCTGCTATTAATTTATTGGAGGTTATTTTTTAATATCTAATTTGTTGACTGTTTGCTATTACTGAATGAAACAAATCAACCAACTGTGTCGTGCCGAGTTTATATCGTACTGTCGTCATTGCTGTTTTCTGCCCATT